CTACCCCACGCCGGAAACGGCCCAAAATTTGCCTAGTTTCTCGTCCGAACGAGAGCTATCTCCTGATACCAGCATCGACCTGGTAGGAGATGGCGCCGACCCAGTCGCTGCCCCCGGCCCCTGCGGGCGCAGCCGACGCGTCTGGCGACACGGCGAGACCCCTTCAAAAACGCGTCCTAGACCTCAACCGCGAGGCGGCGAGCTTGCTGGAACAGCACAGCCCGGGCACCTCGAAGCGTATGATCGAGTTCATCTAGAAGACCTGGGCGGTGACCGAGGCGCTCTCCCACTACCCCGTGGGGGACGCCTAGAAGGTCCAGATGGACGAGATCCAGCGGGCGATCAATGACATCCGAACGGACACCAACGAGCTCACGGCCAGGACGGAGAACCCCCTGCGGACGTTCGCCAGAGCCGTGCGGGGGGCCCTTCGCCCTGCCACTATCAGTCGAACCACAACTCCGCGAGCAGCGCCCCGGCATGTCCGGCCGATCTCAACCGCGACCGCGCCCTCACCGTGAAGGTAAGTAATCCCGCCATGGCCCGGAACCTGCGCCAGCTCACGAACGAGGACCTAGTCAAGCGCGCTGAGGAACACCGCTGGCTAGCGGCTATCACGGCCGTCCGACCGACCCTGGCCTCTATCCAGTTCATCGCGGCGAAAATTCTATGGTCAGGTGACCTGCGGCTCTTCCTCCGCAACGCCAAGAAAGCGGAGATCGCGCGGACACACCGGGACGCCTGGATTAAGGGATTCGGCACCGCCGCACGGGTCGCCCTCGCCTCGTGGGGGGTGGTCGCCACCGACATGCCCAGCCAGGCCCTGGGCCCATTAACCGAGGAAGCGGACCGCAAGCGGATCGCGCAAGAACTCGTGGCCAATAACTGTCACACGTGAGGTGAGTCCTGCGAGATCACGTACGTGGGCTGGCTCGTTCGCCCCTTTCCGGGCAAGAAACGGTCCTCGATCGTCATTGAATTTACCACACCGTACCACGCGAACCGCGCCATCAAGGCCGGGACCATCTAAGACTTCCAGGTCTCGGAAACCGCCCTGTACGACCGGGCGTCTCGCATTGTACACTGCAACAACTACCACCGATACGGCCACATAGAAAACATCTGTCCGAACGAAACCGTCTATGGCGCGTGCGCCGGCAAGCACTCGACTACTGCTTGCCGCGACCGTGACACCCCCAGGCTTGTGCCGAAATGCACCAACTGCGGTGGCGATCACATAGCCTGGCACAAAAAGTGAGGCATATATCCAGGAGCGAGAGAAGGCTCGGGGGCGCGCGCTGCACCGGCCGCGCTTCCACCATACACCTGCCTACCTGCAGGACCCGGACGTGGGTAGCGCCACGGGGTCAGCCGCACACCACATAGGCCCCAGCAGCGGGGAGCCAACGGAGACAGAGAGTGAGGACGCTGGGGGATCGTCCAAGGGTGCCAGAAACGCGTCGGACGACTCCGCTATAGAGGGACTGAGGTTCACCGGGAACACCCCTCCGCAGGGCGAACTATCTATTAACACCCTATCGACCTTGACCAGTATACCGACTATACCTCCCACTTTATCAACCACCGGCGTCAGCCAAGATGCGCCATCCTCCGGCACCAAGGGGACTAGACGCAGCGCTAGACTTGTCCAGTAAATTAAGCGTGCCCAGGCACGCAACCCGGAATATATTTTCACCGGGACTCCAACTTAGACCCCCCAATCCAGATCGCTGAGCCCCAGGAAACGCCGCCGTGCAAGGGACTCCTCCGGCCCCGACACCGTCGCTGTAACCCGCGGCCGCACTCGATCTGACGCTACATGGAACACTGCCTTATCCCCTGATCATGTATAAACAGCAGACCCGCAAGCCATATATTTTGGCTCCGTGGGAGACGCCTGTCGTGGTTGTGATTAATAGCTACGAAGCCGTACTACAATACTTTAGGTAGTACTAGGATAGGCGAGAGAGGATTGTAGTCTACATAGATAGGAGCGGCCTGAATGGCCGAATTGGAGCCAGTACCGTCTGCCTCTCGTAGAGCTGGATGCGGAACGGTACGCTGGGGATGGAAGCAGAATCTATGGTCTACGTAGGGGAGCTGATTAGAATCCAGATGGCCCTACACACGCTGCGGAAAGAGAACAGACCAGCCGCGGTCTTTGTAGACAGCCAAGCCGCGATCCAGGTAGTCCAAAACCCGCGGAGACCGTCCGGCCAATATATAGTAGACCAGATCTACTATATCGTACGGCGATATAAGATGCAAGACCGGGTCCAGATCCACTGGATTCCGACACACGTCGGAGTGCCAGGGAATGAGGCAGCCGACGAAGCCGCACGAGAAGGCACGCAGCGAACTGGTGAAGCTGTCTGCCTAGCTGCGGCAGCTAAACGACAGATACGACACCGTATCAAAGACAGATGGATATGGGGGTGGATAACGGAGAGGTCAGGCCGCATAACTTACAGATTAGTAGAGACTCCAGACAAGAAGATACTGGATCTCTACAAGAATCTATCAAAACCGTACGCAGCAATCATTATTCAGATACGTACCCAGAGACATGGATTGCGGCACTTTCTATATAAAATCAACGCGGTAGACTCGGACCAGTGCCACTATGCGCTGGGATCCCAGACGTCGAGGCATACTCTGCTACAATGCCCATTATACGCTGAACTCAGGCGTATAATGCTCAGCAAATTGGACCCGGATGTCCGAGGAAGGATGGATTACAACGGGATCATGTCCCATCCGTAGGCGATTTGCTACGTCGCTGAATTCATGCACCAGACAGGATTGCTTAGCCAATTTCGAGCGGTTGAACAAACCGGTCAGCTAATCTTAGGCAGATAAGCAAGCTGGTCACTACTAAAGACGGACAGATGTGGAGGACGGTGAGTATACAGTCACCCCAGGAAGGACCGGTCAGTCCTTCTATATACACGCCAGCATTCACATACTAGGAGTACTAGGAGGGACCAGGAACAATGGATGGGGAGGTAGAAAAAGACAGCTGCCAGGGGGGTGGCGGGCAGTTTTAGTTGTGTTCAAAAGTTTTTCGATTTTAGACTATCTTCTGTGGGATATATGGCGTTTACGGTTAGATTCTAGGCTCCCGCGCACCTGCATAGCTAGACGTTCAGTAGTTAGGCTCTACCAGGTTAATAGAATCTTAATTGATTGATTGATTGATTGTCCATCACATGATTTATAAAACACATAAATTATAATCTAGCTCTCTAAGACTCGGCTAAAGTTTCGGGGTGACCGGAATCGTTAGAGAGATATTATATAAGAAAAATATGTGTTTCCAATAGCATGACGAGTACAAAGACCCCACCAACCTGGCCCAAGGATTCTGATAAACTGTTCCACGTTTAAGGGTTCCTCGGTATGTCCTTCGTTTCTCTTGGCGAGGTCCCATGTTTCCCTGGGAGGACACAATGATTTATAGGGTTCCACCACGAGGACAACACTGGCCCTTCAGCGGAGAGATAACCCCTGAATGCGAACATCGGACCTATGTATAAATAGAGAGTTCGGCCATGTTCTCTCGTGTTCACCCAGCAATCTCAGAAAGCGATCTAACACGTCTCTCGTTCCGAAAATGAAAAACACTGCCGATCAATCGCCCAAGGGCGACAAAGAAGCAGGTATAAAACAGTGGCTGGAACTGGCAGGGTTAAGTGAACTTGATGCACGGCAAAAAACCCTTGACGCTGACAATAAACATTCATTAACTAATACGTTCCAAATATAGGGCCAGAAATTATCTAGCGCCCAGTCCCAGGAGTTCGCTATTCTTCTTTACAACCTATGCACCTTGAACCAAGTGGTGATTGATGCCGCCCCTCAAATGGCCCATATGCTCCGACAATTAGATTTCAGTCCAGCTGTGGCTGGCTGGATAGAGAGTGGGCCCCGAGGCGAACTTATACCGCAGGACAAAATACCTATGCCTCTACATGCGATCCCCAACAATCAACGTACGCCTTTGTCGAAGGCTCAAATGCAGATGCTTAACCGCTTTCTTGATCTATTCGTCGTGGACCGAGTTTCCAGTGGGAATGTTCCCTGTGCGGGGGTGGCGGGTGCGGAGAAACAGAAGATACAAGAGGCACAAGAATAAAGCCCATGCGGTGGAGAGTCGTTTGTATGCGTTGAGAGGACACTGGTTTCTGACCATAGATATAAGTTCTCCATACAAAATCTATGTAATTAATATAGAAACTGAAAGTGATTAATCATTGCCGTGATAGTTTCAAAATGTCCTATGCGCCGTCTGCAAGGAAGGAATAGTTGGTAATGGGAATACTATTATTGAGGGAAATAGATTGCCTGCCATGGAATCTCCATCTCAGCTTACCCAACGAGAAATCAGTTAGTGGCTTGCCTAGCAGATATGACAGAAAGTCCGCCGCGAACCTCAGTCCTTAAGTTGGATGCACTGTAACCACTGTCGTTATGGTAGTAGTGGGCCGGTCATATTGAGCCTCGGTGAACGAGATGTAAGCATAATCAGTATGAATTATGCTGGAATATTGTGCCTGCTGGTTTCCTGGGTTCAAGGCGAAGTGGCTTGGAGGGAAACAGTTAAACCAATTTTCATACTTATAGCCTAGGAACCACATAGGCTCTGTAGAATTGACAGTGTATAGGATATTAGTGTGAGCTCCACCTCCAAATATTGTACTAGGTTCGCAGATCGCTTCAAGTGTGGTATTGCATAGAAAAAAAGAGCCATTAGTAGAGAAAAATAATATCGAATCACCGACGGAAGCGTTCATCGACGGCGGATGAAAGTCTGTAACCTCATCTGGGGTCACTGTGACTGTCCAGGTACTACCAGCCGTTGGTGAACGGGTTGGTGTAGAGCCGTGGAGAGAAGAGCTTTTCATTTGTGTACCATACCACAACGGTGATGTATACGATGAGATATCTCTCCTGGAACTCGGGTTTGTTGTCTTAATTGGAGACTGCCTGCCCTTCTCCGACGTAGTCGGGGTCGGCTGGTTATGCCAAGGTGTAGTCCAAGTCGCGGGTAGCGGAGGTCTGGGAGTGACCTGGCGGGCAGTTGATAACCGACTAGGAGTAGGATTCCGTGGATTAGAACTATGTGGATCATTTCTAGAAGTCCTGTTCCAGCGATTACTGGAGCAGTTTAAAGACAACGTGGAAGCTGGCAGTGAGGTGCTTCTCTGTGTCTCTAGTGGAGGAGGAACTGAATACGGTATAATAGCAGTTGAAGTGTGTTTTCCCGGCATAATGCCTGGCATTTGGAAGGGGGGAGAATTAGAAGACACCGTCAAGCTTATGCACGGCCTTGAACTAACGGCCTCCTGGGGGCTAATAATTTCAATATCCATGCAGGAAGTAGAGACCTTCTCCCGATTAGCCCTGCTTATCACTCAAGGGCATATAGTACTGACCAGCCATCGCTGACTCACTGGTTCTGTTGTATTCCACAACCAGTATATTGTATATAGACTGCCAACCTGCAAGCTATCAGGTAGTTTGAACATAGGAGGAAAGCTGATACCATAGTATCCACAGTGAGGGTAGGAACTAAGACTGCGTCTTGTTAGCAATGGTATCGATGAATGATAGTCTGCATGCCCTACAGTCACCTCCATCTCCGCCCTGGAAACCTAAAATCTCTAGGAACGTCCTTGTATCTGGATATTTTGGTTCTCGTGTACCGTACCAACTCATGACACCTTTGTCCGTATCTCTGCACTGTGTTGGATTGCCTCTCGAATACCGTGGCTTGATTATCGACCCTGGAAAAGCTCTCAGGCGCGGCCATCCTTGTACTTGAGATGGGTACAGCTGATTAATGGGGCAAAACGTTGTTGAAAGAGAGGGATCCACAGGCCAAGCTCCGCTTAATCTGTAGTAGTCTGTACCTGTCGGGGTATTAGAAGGCACTATATGTCCCAACGGCATTTTCGGAACTTACTAAAGTTGCGCACATAGCCTTGATGGAACTCATTGTAATTCGCGCCAATAGCCTCGACCCCCTCGATCTATGTACCACCATTAGAATCTCTAACCTCAATACTGTAGGCATATTGACTTCAGCACCCATACCAATGCCCAACCAAGGCGGACACAACAACTCAAGAGGTAGAAGATACTGTAGAAAAAGACTCGCATCACGGAAGTAGGCGAAAAATTACCTGGACAGCAGTTAGCAATGAAAACACAAAATTATATATGATTTGCTTCGTAAGTCAGGCCACCCAGAATATTTTGTGACCTGTTCCAGCCCCCTTTACACCGGCCTGCGACCCCGTTTGGTTCCGCGATTTTGTGCAGAGCACATTTATATAGTAAAAAACAGATTTTCTGTTTTGAGAGATGCTGGCACGGTGTTAATGAACATTAATGAACGCTCTAATGGCCACAACAACGGACGCCAACTCCCCCGTTCGACTGCTATGGAAGTCCAACAAACTCTACCAAAAGCTTCGTCCAAAAAGGTTCTTTGGCCTCCTCGAAAGATTCATGAAAACTAGTGAAGTGGAGATATGTATTATCGAGGACCATGGGAATAGCAATCCAGATGAAATAACGATGTTTGTCACGAGCTGGGGAAGAGATAAAGAACGGATTTAGGTATGAGTCTGGCTCGAATACCAGGTTGGCAACTACTAAGGAAATATATATCTCAAGGTATCAAGATATCCACAAGGATGTACTGACCTACTTTTGATTTGGTTGCGAGCCCATAGTCACTTCAACCAGGGCAACCTTGATGCTCAAGTTGAGTTTATAGATATATATAGAGCTACTATCACTACATAGGAGAAACCGACAGTGAAACAGGGGTTCTATCATTGTCAAGTACGCGCGTTTAAACAGGCTTAAATCATACCCCCATCATTGCCACCATGGGCCTCAAACCCCAGAACTTCAAAGTAACGCTGCTCAGAATCGCGAAGCCTTGCGGTGACCTGAACCAGCATGTCCTCAATCTTGTGGAAGATACGGAACATCTCCTCATGGAATTGCAGTAGAGCTTGTTTGGATTCCTTCTGCCACTGGAGTTCGGCTTTCAGGTAACTGGCATCATAGACGAGATCCTCTAGCTGTTGACGAATGTCTGTAGATGCTCTCTTCGATCGTTGCAAGCGAGAAGGGAGTCTTTCGATGCTGGACGAGGTGCCACCATGACGGAGTATTTCATGGTCCACTGGGGTGATCTCTTCAGTAATAGGATCAAGGGAGCGCCGGGGAAATTGTTGCATTCTTTCCAGGGTCTGAAATAGTGGGGGAGGTAAAGAGATGGGAACTTGCGACAGTAAAATTCTGATTCAGACAATTGTAAAAGCAGGCCTGTTGGAAGATAGAGTGACTTTTAAAGGACCAAAGGTCTGGGTCACAAACTCAAGTGCATGCTTCCATTGCGAGCCCGGAAGGGGTCGCGGGTCCGAGACATGTAGACACAATTGAAATGACCAGGACCCCAAAACTAGTCTAAGCAGTGTTTCTTGATAAAAGAGCCGCAGTTAAATGTGGGTTTAAAATGTCCTGACCTGGTTCTATTATGAGAAATATATAGTTTGCCGTATAAAGGATTATTGCATTCCAAAACAGGGCGAGCTTTGAACTGAAAACCTCGTAATTGGCTCTCGGGTGCAAGATATCTTTGCCAGGGCTTTGTTGACTGATTTCCCGATGTACTCTCTTTGGCCTATTATTGTCCGTCTATAGTAGTTCATGGTCACACATATCACACCATTGCCCCTTTGTATGTAGTAAACCATCAAACATAATACTGCTATTTTCCTAAGCAGCAAAATCAAGTGTCATTCTCCTTCACTAATCCCGTAGTTGATGTATACAAGCAGCATGATAAGAACATTAACCACAGCTGCATGTGCTATTTGAGATTTGAAGCTTATCCCATCTAGGTTCGGCTAATAAGTGTATTCAATTCGCATGATCTAAATGTCGAACCAAGCAATGTATAACACTCTCTTTTTCCACTAGGTGAAAATGTCAAAGAAGGTCTAGTATATCTACTATGGCATCTCAGAAACACACAAACTCCCTGCACTTCTCAGTACCAATGATGACTGGATCCTGCATTCTACCGTGGCGTGTTTGAACAGTTGTTGCTGTTAGGGATGAGCTGTATGGTTGGAGGTGAGGTTGGCTCGCTTGGGCGGCTTTCAGTATCACAAGCCCAGCAGCACTCGGGACCAGTGTCCTGCGAATCCCCCCTTAAAGCCATCTGTAGGTAGCGTACTGTTTCTTCACGTGCGTTCAACGCGGATCGAAGAGTGGAGATCAGCTCACGTTGCCACTCATTCTGAAGGAGAACATGCTGAATATTCAAAGAGCTGGTGTCACTGTGTCCAATCTGAGCTATGGCCCGTAACAAAGCCTCGTTAACTAGGTGCTGTTTCTCCAGACGAATTTCCAAGTCATCCGCCCTTTTTCTCTCCTTTATAAGGTCTTGACTTAAAAGCCATTGGTGTTCTGTGACCTGGTCAAGGGCGGACTCTTGCTGCAGTCTTGTTCTTTCCAAGTCTGCAATAATGGCTCCCATATATGCGCAATGGTCGCGTGTTTGGTTGTACACAACCTGGTCCTCCTTTAGCTTGCGCTCTAATTCTTCGACCCGATCCCTCGATATCTCTTCCCATTCGAGGCGCTTGTCTGTCAAACTGCAGATAGCTCGAAGCTCGTTCTCAACGTGGGTGCCCTTCGATCATTAGCTCTGGTAAACATGCTTGAAAATGACTGACTTTACCGGAACTTGGGACATTGTACTGGAAGGAAAATGTTTTAGATATATTTAGCCTCCGATCAGATCTATCAATTTAACAGAAGTCCGGCGCAAAAAACGAAGGAGCGGATATTCCTTCGACTTAAACCTTTAGTATGAATATTCACGAAAGCCTATACAACTTAAGCCCAGTGACCTAAAATCTGAATTGTAGGGGGATTTAGCCGCTATAGGACCGCACGTTTTGAGTGTAGATGTCGACATATGCGACACCGAATGGGCTCGCAGGGGTATTCTTTACCGCACCAAAACGGTGACGGCACCGTCATGCTTTAGGTAGTTCCGTGGCCGAGTGTAGAAATATCGATTTCCACTAGGGATCCATATTGCGCCTCCATTTCGGGTAGGACGTATAACTGCTTGTAAGGAACACCTACTTGTATGGAATATTACCCACTGCCCCGTGCGTGGTCGAAAATCTTGCCCCGGTAACGTTTCAGACCTAGTGACTTCTCGGCATGCAGCTACCCAGAGTTTAACAGGCGACATTAAATATATATTTATATTTACATGCGTCCTATATCTTTGGGAGTACTCCTACTATATTCTTATATAAATACAACCTCTACCCAAAGACAGTATAAACAACTACAGCTACGTGGAGCTCTACCGCTGATTATATATTTCTTTTTACATCATACTGTGAAATGCTTTATGCCATTCCCTCTTATCTCTAAAGCACATCTCACATTTGGGACTGACAGTTCTGGGTTTAGAGAATCAAAAGAACTCGGTACGCTCGTGTCAAGTGAAGCCGCAACGTTAGGATAACTAGCACAGCATATCGAGCTGTTTCTTCAAATTTGCAAAAGGTAATCGTATCGCTCGATAGCTACAGAAATCTTCATTAGCATCTTCGCCATAACACTAGAATCCTGGGAAGTTCATCCTGTCTACCTCTTGAGGCATACCCATGGCACTCAGCCAGCTGTACCATTGCGAAGGAGACTGTATTCACCTCCTCCCGCACGTTGCCCACAATTGGCCATGGTTCGACAAACTGCTGGAGTATACCTGCATGAATCTTTGTGATCGGATCCTGAAATTCCAGCTAGGTTTGCTTGGACGTAGTAGTGATACAAGCCATCTTCACCTCATCCAATTTTGCTAGGATCCACCTCATGAACGACATCAGCCCATTTAGTAAAGCTACTGTGCTCAATATTCCCTTCTTTGACCACGCGCGGGCTCGTGAGCTTAGTAGATTATCAATTCTTTGCTCCACTAGGTTACCAGAGAGAGGCTCTTTCAAGTACTGTGCAATACTCTTTCCTCCTACCGAGAACGTTTAGATAAGCCATAACCTGTATAACTAAGACTAGATACCAGAGCCCTCGGGGATTTGAAGCGTTCCAATTGGACATCTCCCGGGAACTAGGAGACTAAGTCCTCGGCTCTTTTTAAAATACGTCCTGCAGAGGTATCTATACCGACACAGAACAGGTGTAAAAATAAGGAACTGAAGCTCACCTGAACCACTTAGTATGGGTGAGCCTCGGATGTTAAGAAGCTCTCCCGATAATCGCACGTGGTGTGGAAAAGATCACCCCGGCCCCTTTACCTTTTCCGTAACCATTTAAGCTTTTTCTTATTTGTAATTGTGAGTACGTGGTAACGGTCATGTGGATCAAGTACGTCTCAAAGACAACGACCTAAAATATGTGCCTCGGTTACCACGGCCCACATGTAGGTTTCGTTATGTCTCGTATTTCTGGTCTTAACCTGGGGACTACTATTCTTAGCCTTTTTGTTCTGTTTTCTAGAAGCCTGGCCTAAGTAGGTAGTACCATTTACGCAAAAGGATGCAACGGTAAAACGATCGTGATGTGACTTCAAATCCTGACTTTTGCCAGAAGACGGGTTATCTCAACTTTGATCGGAAGCGGCCCTCTCTAGATGTGGAGCCTAAACTGTACTAATTTTTTGCGCAGCTTAGGCGGCACGTAATTTCCAACCAAAGGCCCTTTCCTTAAACTGTAAACATGGCATATGAAATGATTAACAGTGTATCACATTGACTGGAAACCTTTCATGTCCCCACTACTCCAACTGAGAATAAATGTTTTATCTCTTTTTGGGGCAGGTGGGGTTGGGGCGGTGGGTGTTTTCTAGTAGGGGAAAAGGGCAGGCGATCAAGATAGTAAGAACTTTTCTGCCTTGGCAGGACGGACCCACTAAATATGTTCTCTCTTCATGGAGGATATGTTGATTCCTGTAATTATAACTGTATATGAATCCTGCCTGGCTTCGGAAGAGGAAGCCAGAAATAAAATGATTGCAAAAATAGGGAGATGTATAATTACTTACATGTCTGTGAAAAGTTAAAAATAAATCAGAATGAAAAAGTGCAATTACGATTGGACCCTGCATGGGTATGACTTGTATTTGTTAGTTTGTGGTTGAGGAATGGCGTCAGCAAAAAATTTAAAATAAAAAGAAATGTAGCCCCTCTTACGGAATTCGGTAAGAGCCTATCAAAACTGTATTTCTTACGGTTATACTTCGGAGATTCGGGCCGAAGATACGTGATAAAATAGGATACTATTAATGCCCTTGACTTAAACTGGTCATACGTAACTAGAGCTGTGAGCCTTATTAGGATGCCGGTGATTCGCTAGGATCCGCTGTGGCTAGTTGTTTATGTTAGATGATGTTCTCCGAGATAAATGGCTTTGCCGCTAAGTCGGGTCCAAGCTGCCGATTTCCGGACCCGCCAATGACGAGGGACAAGGGCCGACAGCGCTTTGTTATCCTTTGGTTCTCTTAGTCGGCCCACGGTTTCAAAAAGCCACGGCTAGTTTGACCATAATGAGAAGCCCTAAGACACTTAGATAGGGTACCTACTTCAGTCTTTAAGAAAAAAAAGGTTAAAGAAAAGAAAGAAAGAAAGAGAATAATAGCACCTGGTAAGATTAACAACTATATGAGCGGAATTCCTTGGGAAATCTATGAGCTTTTAGGACTTCGTGTCATGCGGGTCGTTAATGTCCTATGAACTATCATACATTGAGATTTATCTACATAGAGAGCAAGACAAAAGTAGTTATTATCAGATTTGCAGAGATGAATGCAATTTATATTGTATTATGCCTAAGCACGAGACGTGCATTTGGAGCCCTTTAGCTAATTATACTTAGTATGCAACAAAAAACCACAACAATCATTTATTACGCCCGGGTATCCGTCCAAGGACTCCACGACCAGTTAGCAATCTTGGTTAGATTCGACTTACCTCGACGACTAGAATCCACTAGTGATCGACGACGAGGGGTGGCCCGAGTTGGTCCGAACGAGTATCTACGATACTGATGACGATACTTATACGAAGGTAGTCCAAGGTTGAAAGGCCAGGCTAATTGAGTACGTATACTCAATTATTAGATAGTGCGAACGAGTTGAGCTGGTAACAATATAGAAGGTATATCTGTGGTAACAATTTGGATTGATCACGAAGAACTAAACTAAGTACATGAATGAGTGTCCTTATATATCCTTCCTTGAAACATCTTGATATATTGACTGGTATGTCGTTGGTATACGCGTGGTATACGATATACTGAATTGTATACTTTCAGGTGATCGCTTGTATACCATTTAACTTATCACGTGACACAGCTAGTATCGTCCGTTGGCTAACCGTGTCATCGGATACTCCCTATAACCGTCCCTTGGTAATCCTGCGGCTGCTTTCAGCTCTTATCGTCCTATGGTTTTCTGCCTTTCGTGTCCGCTTTCGATAAGGTGCGCTAGACAAGGGTCTGTAACATCATTCTCTGTGGGACACTCTTTCGTATTGATACGGGCGCGGTGTGCTTGAACCATGGCGGCTCTCATGGGTGAGGATGTCGTCTCTTGGCGAAGGACACTCTAGCTCACTCTGAAGGGTATCACCATCATTGGTCCCGTAGCCGTCAGGTGGCATGTCTTGTAAAGCCATCTGCAAACACTGTATGGTAATGTCCTTCACGTCTAACGTAGATCGCAAGGTGGACATTGATTCGCGCTGCCTCTCGTTCTCGAGGAGAACATGTTGAATGTCCCAGGAGCTGCGATTGCTTTCAACTTGTGTGACTGCACGTAGAAGAGACTCGTTTACCAGGTACTGGTCCGCAAGACGAGACTCCAAGCCCCCTACCTTCTGTCTTTCCAGCGTCAAGTCTCGGTCTAACAACCATTGACACTCCACGAGGCTGCTAACGGTAAATTCCTGATGTAATATCTTATTTTCCAATCTTGCGATGACTGTTCTCAGATCGGCGCAATGGTCGCATGTTTGTTTGTGTGAGAACTGGTCCTCTATCTGGAACTTAAGCTCCTCTACCTCTTGCCTTAATCCGTCTTCCCGCTCGAGGAGCTTCTCCATTAAGCAGCAGATTGTCTGAGTTTCGTTTACGACGGATGGATCCTTCTATCGTCAGTTTAATAAACTGTTGTCTGGGGAAGCAGGCCTCACCGAAACGTGTGGCATTGTGTTGGAGAGAGACTATTAGTGCACCTGGTCTGTTGGTAAATGTCCGTCAGATTTTGGACCGAGAGATCAGTGACCTGAAAGCGGAACAAACCGCTGGGTAGACGAGCTAGGCTCTAGATATAATTACCATCGAGGAACAGCTGAATAGGCACCATGAGCTTATTTTCCTGACCAAAACGGCATCTATTTGGAACAAGACGTCTATTATTTGCGTGGACCAAATCAGTATATGCGGAACTAAAACGCGTCGCACTATTGAACCTTGCAGACACCAGATAGTGACATCCAGACCAGTCCGAGGCCTACTTGCGTGCTAGGCGCTTTCTTGGAGAGCTGAGAAAAACACTGGTTTTTCCCTTTACTATGTAATTTTCAACCCGCTCAAGATGAAAGTCAGAAGCCCCTCCTTGAATTTTCTCGACTGGGCATCTGGCCCCCAAGGAAGAAAGTTAAGTGCGTGGCTCTGGTGCGCTGGTGGGGCTGCTGAGGTTGTCCCTGCTGGAATGAAAACAGATATATGCGATGAAGAACATGAAGCTTACTTGAAAGACTATGATCTTTGGTTATTAGGGATTGCTCCTAGCTGCCAATATGGGTAGGGAACTCTCTGGGGAAAAATAGAAATCAACAAACTTAGATGAGGTAAGATAGGCCAAGCCAAAACATTGCAAATCGGATGTGCTTTAGCTCCAAAGGCCCACTTAAAGCTCCGGTATGCCTCCCGCAATCAACGCAAGACACATATAATGCGGAATGCTTCCCGCCTCCACCTTCCCTTTCCTTCTCCGGTTTCTTTTCTCGTTTTGGTCTCGCGTTTTTTTTCCCTTTCTGGCTAAACTGAGAAAAAGTAGTTCTTGGCAATGAAGAAATTCAACACATTTAATAAACAGCTTGTCAGCCACATACCTTTACGATCAAAATAGCTTACTAAATTTGTGATAATAGATATATAAGTACTCGCCATTGTTCCTGAATGAGGTCATCCATTTAGTCATTTTATATCCTATCCAGACATATTCGAATTTGATCAAACCAAGATCGAAGAAGTAACAAGACATTTTGTGACTATGAATAGCCTAGGATTAAATTACAACTTAGTAGAGAACCATTTCGTGGACCTGACCTAGAACCATGGAACATAAAATGAGGACCCATAAAAGGCTCCATGCCCCAAGCCGCCCATTCCTTAGCAAGCGTAGGGAACTATTTTGTAATTCTTAGGAATAAGAAGGAAAATAGAAAAACGTACTATGAAATGTCGATCAAAACACGGGGAAAGCGCGGGAGATCCCACTTGTGAACTTAATGCAAGTCCATGCTCCACAGCGCTGATCAAAATTTAGAGTTGCATGGGACTTTTTTAAAATTGGCTGGCCGGTCCGATCCGCTAAAGGTTTCTCAAAAATGGAAGGTAGAGATGGACTCAGAAGTCATAATTAGCATTCAAGTTGAGTGATATAACAGATTATTCTCCTTTTTTCTTTTTCTTTTCCTTAAAAGAAAGGAGAGAAATAATAAACGAGGTGGGTACAAGGAAGATGTTGTGCTTGTGGAAGATGAAGGCAAACTAGACACTAAACCGCTAGAATATTGACTAGTGTATGAAATGGTGAATAAATCTACTTTTTGCCACCAACTTTCTGTTGGAGATCAGGAAGGGAAAAAATTGCAAAGTAATTTAACTGAATTATTTGTCATTCTTTCCCTTCCTCGGCTTATGATTAATTAACTTGGTAATTATAGTAGCTCTCGCAAATTGCACCTCTAGCTGGTATTGCTTACTTTTTCAACTTGTATACATTGCTAAAAACGCCTTTTGCAAAGCTTACACTAGTAGAGGTTGTAATAATTGTCTAGTACTCTAGACAATATCACACAAGGAGATAGTAAAGGCTAATAATAAAAAGGAAAATATCCTGCTCCATCAACCCATGATCTACTATATTTGATCCAGCGGGCTTCGACGTCGCAAATCAACGGCGGCCTTACTCTGTGATTGGAATGACACAGGATGCTCCATGCGCTTAGTTAAATGCCCAAATTTTTCCATAGCAAGCCGCTCGCATTTGACGACTTTCTCCACCATCTCCGCCAATTTGTCAACTCTGCCAGAGATGTTGTCCATCTTGTCATGAAGACTACTCGCCAATATGTCAACCCTGTTGGACATAATCTCGATCTTTTCATGAAGGCTGTCCTCTAGTCCTTCGACTCTGTTGGATATAGTGCTGGTTTTCATATCCAGTACACTGAGTACATCGGGGATGTTTTGGAATTTCAGTGCAAAAGCATCAATGACACTTGAATGTCGCTCAACTGTTTCCGAAATTGACCCGGCTTCTGTCGTTAGGTTCTGTATTGCAGTGCTAAAGTTATCAATCGAAGAATGTAGAGCTGCAACTGTCGATGTATCACCACTAGTGGTCACGGAAAAGTTGTCAATATTGAATATCCCGTCGGCATTTCTTTCGGAAGGCTCAGAGAACGTCTTCTGGCAGTTAAATTCACTTTCATTTTCTGGTTAGCGTAAGCAATATGGGCAAGTCATTGACTTCCTTCTTACCTAGGCAATTCAGTGGGTGGGACACTCTCCTGACTACGGTACATTGTTAGTGATTTCTCGGCCAACCGTAGCGAAAACACAAACCTTTCCCCCCAATTGTTAAGGCTTCTTTCCTTTAGACGCAAGCCTACGTTTTCATCCCCAACCAGAGTAGTAGAAGTGGAAGCATTGAACTGTGATTGGTCCACAATGCAGTTGGTACTGGCAAAGTTATTGAGTAAGGCGTTTCCAGGTTGGGCAAAAGTATGGTTCACCCCGTTGTACGGATTGAACAGATCATTGTACGGCCACAACTCGCTATTCGAATAAGGGTTCGGTTCAAAGTCCTCACATCGTTGGTTAAATAAAGACATATTTAAAGTTTCCTTTTTTTAGGTGGACAGAGATGAGAGAGGAAGAGTGATGAAGTATTGTCCACGCAGGTGGGATATCGGCATCGAGATGAGAACACCAAGTGGGCTTTATATATCCTTAGAGCTTACAATGATTGCAAACGGGTTGCCTTTACTACCTGTGTGCAGGGATTAATTATGGTTACATGGCTTACGACGGATACTATCATCACTGGCCTAAGTTGCCTATCCCACGTACCGTTGACAGCGAGGGCCTAACTGTCGGATTGTGGGTCATCATTGATCGTTCCCCATACTGGCCAGGTGTCTGGCTTACATACAGGAGGCTAACACAATTCTCATTTCCAGATTGACACTAGCTCCCAACCTAGGAAGTTGATCACAGGGCCCGCCAATGATTCACTCCAGCAGCCCCACCGGGCTACTTTACTTGTTTCTCAGTGGACAGCCGAGCAGATCATAGAACCATGGTTCGTTTGACTGCTAGCTAAGGCTAAGGGTGTCAAGACAAAGAATGCGATACCGTAATGGGGTCGCGGCTGTTGATAAAAGGAAAAGAGAAGGTGAGCCGCCATTCGCCTTGTAATCTGCCTATTGACGAATGAAAGTCAGTTACGGGTCGCTGCTCACCCGGGCGACGGTATACTTCTATGTTGAAACACTAGAGTGACATTCTGTACCATGAAGCACGCATAAAAAATGAGACTAGAATAGTAACGAGGAGCCTTGCTCTCTCCGTTTCAACGGCGGAGTGAGCTTCGCCTTAGTTAGACTATCTCAGAGATTTCGGAGTGATCTGGGTAGAAAAACCCATAAAGGCCCGGGCAAAAGCGGATTGTAGAAGACATTCAGCACTCTCTCAAGATGCAGCGGATAGATGACATTGGCTGGCTCGGTTTGGGCCTCAGCGAAAGTAAGAAGTTTACTCTTTTGGATCATGGTCGTTTAGATCGTGTGATTACCGAAATGGGCGATCCCGCGAATCAGTATCCGACATTATGCGTATACATGGGCGGCAGATCCAAAGATGCTTGTCTTCGGCGGCTGTATCCAAATAACAACATAAAACGGCATGCCTCAACCGCTGAGATTAAACTACGCTATGATATTGATTCCTTAAATACCACGCGGCCAGCGCTATTCACGGACGGAGACCTGAAATGCATGCCATCCGCCTACCCCTCTACGAATGGCCGACCTAAGTTCGAACGCTCGATCTCATGGGATGCATCATCTGCAGAGAAAGCCCTGTATATTATCTGGGCCCGCTTGGTTTTTCTTTTCGCTGATGTAATCTGTGTGTTTGCTAATGACTTTGGTGATCTTCTTGATGTGGCTGGCTTTTTGCTAGAATGTCTTAGCCTGCAAGCACCATCATCATTACCATCCGCCGTTCGGCCGCGGGTAATCATAGTGCTGGAGGCCCGCTTGGATGGGGAACAAGAGGATATACAGAATGTGGAGCATTTCTACTGCAAGTTACACAAGGACGGTCCCAACCTGAGGGAGTACTTTTCGGCGATCCATCTGATCCGTTTGGAAAGCAGTCATCTGTCAGAAAATGCTCGGTATGAGCGGCTGAGGGCATTAATTATGGGCCAGTTGGATGACATGCGCAATGTTCGTGAAGACCACAGAGCTTTATTCAGTGCAACCCACCTCGGAGCGCTCTTCCGTTTGGCGTTTCAGCACACAGCAGAAGGTATCTGCCGACCCTTTGATTTTGTGAAGGCAACTAGAGCACAGGATGAGGTCCCCTCAACGCTGAGCAGGAGCCTGGCACACTACCTAGAGATAGGAGCGAAGGCGGGGCTCCGGTACGAGGAGCTCGCCACCTCCATCTCATCGGCTCTCTTGATGGACCATTACATCCCAGGGATGCTAGGTATGACCTACCCTCCATGGAACTTGATCCGTGTACTGACGTAGTACCCTAGCGCTAGAGCCTCGGGCTATCTTCCAGACGCTGTATCGTCCTGCTGTCCGAGACGCGCTCCACATTCTCGGGTGGTATCAACCAGGTAAAACTATCGAGGAGCTGGTAGGTGTTGTTGAGTGCCGGTTGGTGGACCAATTTGAACTGCTTGACCGTACGGGTCAATCATCCTTAGAGTTTCGGCGCGAGCAGCTAAGGGCCTCCAGTGGACGGATCTGTCAGATAAGATCTAACAAGATTTGTCTTGTGTGCCTTTTCCGGGTTGCGCAGCATCGCCTGGATTGTGGTCACACACTCTGCGATCTTTGTGCTCAATTATTTGGTACTCCCGCACCAGATATTGAGTATAATTTCACAATCGACGCCTGCCTTTGTTGCCTTTACCAAAGACCGCTTGTAATAGATGTCTTACCCCCAACAATGAATCCTACAGTTCTTGCTATTGACGGTGGTGGAGTCCGAGGGGTTATTCCCTTGGAGTTTCTGATCCTTGTCCAGGAGAGTCTCGGTTGTTGCCCTCTGCAAGACCTTATTGACCTCGCGGTTGGAACAAGTTCGGGTATGTGCAGGAGTAAACTGGAATACCCTCTCTTTGTTTCTGTTTTTCCAGTTCGCTTTTTAGCATCTCAATATTTCGTTTAGTTATTGCATCCACCTTTGACCGCGAACGTGCCAATTCATCACTAATGCAATATAGGAGGCCTCAGCATACTAGGCTTATTCAATATGCAGTGGGGTGTCAAGAAGTGTGCCGATGTCTTTGACCGTATGGCACGTCGTATATTTCATGAAAGACGCAGTTCGACACTAGCCCGTGCATCGCAAGCTATGTTTGGAAGTCATTCTTTTCTCGGAACTGTTCACAAATGGCTCTTATGGCTTCTTTATGATTCCTGTTACGATGGACGTGTTTTTGATCTGGCTCTAAAGGAAGTCTATACGATTAATAATCGTATATTCGACAGTCTTCTCCTGGAAGCTTCCAGTACAAGGTACTCCAAGACTAAAGTGGGTGTCGTTGCAACTAGCATTGCTAGAGAGACCAGGTCTTTCGTGTTCGGGAACTTCAACGGGACAGAAACCGCCGCTGAAGATTGTGGTAAGTGTCGGGCTCCAAAGCTGGTTGAGTTAGTGTTTCCTTCGGACATTGATCGAGATGTAAGGATACGAGATCGTCCGGCCAGTCGAGACGGGCTCGGAGCCGTTTGTATGGGAAGCGTAAGTATGCTGATAGGAATTTTAGGTTTGCACTAACATGGAATTTGTCAGAGCGAGGGCTACCGCGGCTGCCCCCTTGTGAGATTCACCCTTCCACGGTTTATGTAAGTGGTCTAGACTGACAGCCAGAAGCTTCTTCCCCCCAGCCGATATTCGCGGAATTGGTTCATTCCAGGACGGAGGACTCCGTGACAATCTCGCCGCGGACATTGCACGCCGATTATGCCGTCAAATTTGGCCCTCTCGGAAGCATCCAGCAAGGCTTCTATCGATGGGCACAGGTGTGACGGCTAGAGGTTCCGACCGACCACCGCATTTCCGGCATGTCTTTCAGGACGGCTTTCTACGACGAGGGTTTGATGCTTGGATGTCCTCCATGGATACTGAAAGTAAATGGTTGGAAATGATTGGGCAGCTGGAGGACATCTATAAGGAGGACTATCTTCGGCTGAACATACCTCTTCGAGATATGCCTTGCGCCATCGATACAGTCGAGGTGATGGAGGAATACCGGAACCTTGTTACCATCTCCCCGGGAAGCGCTCGGATGGCGAGAGAGGCGGCGACGGCGTTACTTGTGTCCCGATTCTATTTTGTCCTTGAAACTTTACCGGAAGATACTGTCACACCGTTTTGGTGCTATGGGACCATACGGTGCAAGGGTCGTGCGAAGCAGGTGGTCGATGCATTGGGGCATCTCCACCCTCAAGGCCTAGATTATTTAACTGACTCTGAAACCATAGGGCCACTAAAGGGACTAAGTGAACTCTGTTCGGCTTGTGGAAGATACTGCCGGCCGGTATCATTCCTTGTCGCCCATCCAGATAAGGTCGTCAATATTTACCTAAAGACACCCACAAAAAAGAGATGGAGAATAAGCGGCTTTCCTGAGAGTATGGCATCATTCACTGGATGCCAGCAGTTGTATGCGCCATTTGGCCGTCGTGATCATGGTCGGTTGGGCTCCTCTCCATGTAGCAGTTGTGATAGACGGGGGAGACCCACTCACGGGATGAGGCGGAAACGTTCGTCGGGGAAGTCTTGGAACAGTCCCACTAAGAGGTTTCGTTCCACGGATGCAGATCAGGACGAACTGAAAACTAGTCGACTAGTTAGGTGCGTGGGGCGAACGTAGATCGCACCTAACCGCGCTCAACATCCGTCGGGAGTCGCCGCCACTCCTTTTTCTTTTCTTCTAGATATTTTTGTTTTATTTTTATTTTATTTTTTGTTGTGTTTTGGTACCTTATTTTATGTTTCTATTTTTCCACCAATCAAGTGTTGTTTATTGTCGGACTTAGGAACTATGAAACGTGATGAGAGCTGTATAATAAAGGGTCTCAGGCGCGCAGATCCAACAAGGTTGAAGTATGTGTTCTCGTCTTTCCCCGTGTCCTCAGCTCTCCTATCCTCTCTAACCAGCGAAGCCATATCCATTCTTAGCTTCTTCCACAAGCAGAAACGATGGGAGGTCCGGACCCTGGACGGCATGAGCGCAAAACATTCAGGAAAAGAAGCAGCACCTTGCTAGGCAAGGCACATGAGCTTGCGGCCCTTTCCGGGGCAAACGTCTACGTTATAATCGATCATCCGCGCGCTACAGTGGAGTATAATTCTGTCGGAAACAGGAACTGGCTTCCATCTGATGAAAATCTTGTTGGTGTACATACTTCAATTCTAAATGGTGATTCTGACTGATATTCGTAGGAGAGCATATACCCCAGCCTACAGCGGCTATCCTTTGCCGACATGGAGAAGGCAAGGGGAAATTACAATGGAGAAGAGTTAACACAGTTGCTTCAATACATTGAATACAGGTCTGAACTGCTTCAGTCACTCGGTCAACAAATGCAAGAAGGGCAAAGTTCTCCAACGGCGGGTACACCTAACCATATCCCTGAGCGCAACAGCGATCGATTCTGCGATAAATAGGCTCCACTGCTCGGCGACTCTTTTAGGTGTCGCAGCTTAGTCATGGCCGTGGTGTTTTGGAAATAGGGAACATGAGAAGCTAGCGGGTAGTTCGCAGGAATATATATATATATAAGATAGGTGCCAAGAGTGACTTTCTATCCTCTCTGTACTGTATCTATCTGTCTGACATCTAGAGAAGAATGACCGGCCTAGCTATGGAACCATTGACAGAATTTATACCGTAGTCACCAGCGGTATCGTTATCTCAAACATGACACGGAATAGCCACGGCGAATGCTTGGGTATTTCCTAGCGGCCAAAGCCGGCCCCAAATAGGATCGCAGGAGCTAAGACGTATAAGACGTGCGGGGGGACACTGGCCAACATACAAGTTATCCGAGAAGGTGACTGACATGGACCACCAGAATCCCCAGCAAAAGAACCTTAATCGTGCCTCATGGAGGTCACAATGTCGAAATCACCTTGCGCAACACATCTGTAAGGCTGCGACTTTATGTTCACAACCTTTTCACTCACTGTTAGGGACAGGGGAACAACTCGGAATCCAGCTGAAGCCTGAGGAAGTAAGGCTAAAGTCCACCGAGGAGTTACAATACGTATGGAAAATTGATGATCCTTTACTTGAACCTGTGTTTGACAAGCACCTGAGCAAACACTCGATGGGGGTATACATGCAGTTGTCACGAGAGGTCGGCAAGTCTTTCCATGCTGTTCGTTATGAAGGGATAATTCAGGTGCAGAATTTCCGTATCCAATGATCTCTATAGATTCTAATATATAGCGGATCAGCGGCCGCCGAAGCCTCTACTGCATGATCAATATGAACAAGTCAAGGAAGAAAAAGCTCAGCTCCTTATAAAGTTACAACAGGCGGAGAAGGATATAGTGGCTCTGGAATTGGCGAGGGCTGAAGCGAAAGAAGATGTGCAGGCCTACGAGACCATGATTCACGAGTCACAAATGGCTCTAAATCTTCATCAACAGGACATTCAGCACTGGATCATGGTGGCAACATACTATCAGGGAAATTACACACGACTTGCCAATGCACTAAAGTACTTGATTGCATTTGCCCAAGGTGTTGAATCTGAAGCCTCACCTCTCCTACCTGAATGAAATTTATTCCCCAGGCCCTAATCCGTGCCCGGAAGGAAACAGTGATGAACATTCATTACCAATAATCCCATGGACGTGGGTAGTTGTCTGCTACTATGAAGCTATACGAAAGAGGTTGACAGAGGATATGGACACTTAGACTATTTCTCGCGCTGTCATGCCGTAAGGAAGATAGTGCACTCATTTTTTATCAGGCCTATAGGTTGACTGCTAGGCGCTGTATTGAGAAAGGATAAATTATTATACAACTATGTTCTGCGTTCCTGCTTATCTGAACTTGCTCGTTTCTTCTTTTACTGTTTGTTTTAATTAGTTACGCTGAATGATATTAAATAAAACAGTCCAAGATAAACTGAGCGGATGATGTCAATGATCTAGTTACATTTGATACAATATGATTTAAATGGAAAGGTCTTCAAAAAGCAAACAATAAAAGCACAATCGGTAGGGACCTAGCCATTTGCTCAAAAGAAAGAGGAGCAGAAGAGTTGTGCGTTAATGATGTAGGTGTGGACATTCTTGACCACGTATGTGTCATTGTGCGAGGTAACTCGTAGACCTGGCTAGCCTGGCCAGAAGAAGAAACATACGTGACAATCGATGTAATCGGCTGTTCTTCAGAGAACATAGTTGTTGGAGTAGGTGTCGGTTCGCAATAGTTATCTCGCTGACTGAGTACTAACCAGCGAGGCCAAAAAGGGAGCTCCACCTTCTCGCTTGTGTTTGTTTGGTGGGAGAACAATGAACATGGTACCGTGGAGTGGACATACCTGATAATGGTTAGCTACTGTATTAAGGATAATTTATTATGACATACTGAACATGTGCTAGTAAGCATACACATAGAATTGTAAAAGAATGTTTTGTTTTCTGCATGGTCCTTGACTACGCATCAAGCTGTTGAGAGCACCTCTATCATACTATAACTTGACTATAGTGATCCTGTGAGCCTTGGAATAAACCACGTTGACTTGCTTTGCGACCCCATTTCCCGTTGCGGACCCAAAAGGTGCCAGCGGATCACTGTTCTAGAACTAAGGCCTTTCAACGATTCCCAAAAGGTCCCGCTTCACACGTATGCTCATCAAGGGGTAGCTGGCCCGCGGAACTTTTTCGGGCTGCAGACGGGCTATATATGACCTCTATTTCCGGCCATTTTGGTTCATTATCCACCCCTTCGGTAACCTCATCTGTTCAAGTTATAAATCAGAATCATAAACGAATATGCCAAGCAAGAAAAACAAAAAGAAAGCCCGCCGCAACACCGCTCGACAGCAGAAGAACGACACAACGGATGCACAAGATGAACCACCAGTTAATAAGCCAGTCGATGGCAACGACCTGGATGAAGAGGAAGACGAAGACATGGATGACCCATCCCCAACACCACCGCTAGTACCGGAGAACAGACCTGAAGTCGGCGATTGGGTAATAGATATCATTCGCAAATTCACCAAAGATCGTGGCGATGATGTGATGAATAAGCTGTTCTTGACAGATGAACCTAGTTTCAAGGACGTGCATGACTTCTTTCGTGAGCTCAACGACAATATCCGTGCTGCCAATATGGTTCATGGAGCAGAAGACATTCGTGTCGGCGAGATTCCAGCACACACATATGAAGCAATGTACCAATCCTGGAAAATGGAACTTGCAAAACCCGAGGTGCAAAATAAACCTAGTGAGGCATGGAAAGCATACGACAAAGTTTACCAAGCGTTGGACAACTTCAACCGGGAGTATAACCTACCGCTTGGGTGGAATATATCCGCCTCCGCCGCAGAACAGGCTTTCGGGCAACGGCCATCGTCAGAAGTACCTGTAGCTCCGACCCCTGAAGGAGAAGATTCCGATCTCGAGAGTGGTGGAGATGAAAGCTCAGAATCTAGTAGTGAGGTTGAAGAGCAAAGCGATGACGACTATGCACCCTCAGCAATTGACCTGCTAGAGGCAAGAGCTCGGAAAGAGGAACGTTCACTTACCGGTGCGAAGGTCTTGTTCTGGTGGTCGAAGGGGACGGGAACTCAAATCTTCGTCAGGTATGGCAGCAAGTCAAAACCCATTTTTCGGGTCAGAGCTGGATCCCACGAATATTACGACAAAAAACGGGTGACACGTGTTTTATCCAGTCAAAATCGTGGTTATATGAAAAAGCCGGAGGTTATTGACGGCATACCAGGCGAGACCTGGAAGTATGGCCGAAGGGACGTCTCCAACATACTCGGTGTGGGGTGGAAAGTCGAAGATGACGACGACGAAAATGGCATAGATCCTCTGGAATTTATGGTTCCAGAACCTGGTAGTGTCTATCCAGAAACCAGGGTTTTGGTGGAATGGAAGGATGGTGAGACAACCCTAGAGACTCGAGCATTTGTCCGACGTATTGCGAATGGATCGAGCCTGGATGGAGATCGTCTGATATTTCAGAAGGCTAAGGAGCTGGAGGAGGCATACCGAGAAGACAACAAAGCTGTCGACTGGGGAAATAATGAGGACGACGAAGCTTTAGAACGAGAGGAAGTAGAACAAGGCACTCCTGTTCGTGGAAAATCGCCCCCTCGCAGCGTTGTTAGCTTGGCTCGCTCACATAAATCTGGCAAGAGCAATGTTCGATTTGAAGATGATGCCGATGAAGCTAGCGAGTCCTCTGGACACACGGCGATGACTAGGGCCTCAAAAAAGAGCAGCCTCCGATCTACGGCGACCTCGCGTGGTGCGAAAGCGCGGCCGCCGGTTATATATGAGGACGATCGGGATCGTGAAATCCGCAGGTTGAGAGAGCAGGTAGAGCAACTGACCATGAATCAGCCATGGCAACAAACCAAACAGGTCCACAGCCAACCTGCAATTCGCAACGGTTACCCCCCATCACACAATATGTACAACGCTGGGTTCGACGACCGTGCCTCTACTGTTTCAAGCAAACCCCCGATTAGACCGCTCCGACGAAGTAGGCGTCGAGGAAAAGCCTATTCGCAAGAACCCTGGAATTACTGGACTGATGGTAATTGGAACCATAACGTGAGTACATACTACTAAGGTTATTTAGTGTGAACAGTTGAAGATGGAAGAGGTTTTTATCACTGATTTGATCGCTATTTTCTTGTGGTGCTCTTGTTTGGTCATTATGTTCTCGATGCTATTGTATAAATTCGCCCAAAAAATGGGGCGAAGCAGGAAAAGAAAAAAAACATGTGTGGAGATTGACTCATGTTTATTTGTTTCGTCCTGTTCTTAGTGATAATACCAGCAGTTTGTTGCACAGAATACAGCTGAAGGAAAGTTAATCTGCAACATGAATGTTGGGTTTACGCTTATTATACCTCATCCCTTATCTAGGACACTTACCCCATAACATAGCGAGTCTTACTCTTTGGCCCTTATAACTCCAATTTCCTAGCGTGGAAGAACTGTTTGAATGAATCGGATATGTGCTACCATTTCTGAAATACTCGAGTATATTTAGTTGAATACCCATACTCACATTAATCTTTTTTATGCTAGATAGGGAAACGTTATCTAAAATGGGTGGTCGCCACTCAAAGTACATGTTGAAGATCGCTTTATCCGCAACTAATGCAGAAGCGGATCGTAGTAACACGAACAACCAATCATCGATAGCAGTACATCACTGCGATAGGCCTATGATTGAAGAGATCCGTATCAAACAGGCATGCCTTCTTGTTTGCGAAGCAAAAAATGAATCTTTTGAATAGCTGGCCTGCTTCTAGAAAATGTGCACTAATGATGGATATTTGAATTTGACCTAAGTCAGTCACAAACAGAATGAAACTCAACCTGTAATCAATTGCTCCTTGTTAATTGGTAATGACAATCTCACGTAAATAACAGTTACCTGGCTTTCTTGCTTGTGTACTGGAATATTCTTCAAAAACAAGCATTATTCCATAGTTTCTTTTGTTTTGGATATTTCTGATATTGAGACATTCACAGCTACCTGTAATGACCATCTCGTATACAATCTACTTTCTTCAGTTGTTCTAAACTCCTCTGTTCTCTTGTCACCCAGACAATCATGTTGCGAGGCTCAAGGGTTGCTAACAGGGTTGCTAAGTGGCGATTCGCTATTGCTTTCCTCCTCGGGGTATGTGGAAAATGGGAACTCCACAGGGGTGGCTTCCGCTGATCCTGCTGTTTTAAGGTGCGCATCTACCCGGTTGACGATTAAGTCAAGGTTAGTCGTATGCGATATCGGCCTCTGGTTTAACAAACACATTGCAGTCAGGTTAAGATGCTGGTAAGTTTCAACAATATCCGGAAAATCATTGGCAATGTTCGTAGCCCGAGCGATCAGTTGGCTTTCTTTAGTATGATTGTTATTTCTGCAAGGTGAATGAGTAAGTGCGTGGGCGCAATTTTAGGATGCTGAGGCGCATGTACACATACATTTCTCGTTCGAGCTTCTTGGAACAGACCAGAAGCGCGCCAAAGGAGAGCCGAGTCGCCACCAATAGCCATCTTCTAGCGAGCCTGTTTTCTTTTCGAAACCGTAGTTTTCTCACAGAACGTAACTCCTCTTCGACTGTCTCCCAATCACTGTACATTTCAGCCAGCGTAAGGTTGATGGCAAGGCCATCAACGCGTTGACCTCGCTTCTGAGAGATTCTTTGACCTCCCATTCTTTCAAGCTTCAGCAGATGCATACGCCTGATAACATGAAGATATTGAACAATTTGAAAAAGACGTAAGTAAACTTCCTGGGCCATGCGCAAATGAGCTAGAGGATACAGAGTGTCGTACTCATTTCGGGGCTTTCCCTCAGATCCATATGGCAAGGGTGTATTGGAGAAAAGGCCATAGTTTTCCCAGCTTGGGAGGAAAATTCGAAGGAAGCCAGGCGCTCGGCTATCAATAAGGTCGTTCGCAGATTCAATGACACTTATCCCCCCGATAGGCATAGCACTGGGTGAACTCTTGAAGTAGACATTAGGGCACTGGAACCGAAATATCTCCAACAAAGATGGCTCCGGCAAGGCTAGTTGACTCGAGTCCATCGTTCAGTAATCACGAAGCTTGCTTTCAGTGCGTAATGGATCAAAATGTCATTCACAGGGATTTATCGAGAGTTTAGTGTAATGAAATACTTTGGTAGACGTTTAGTTCATTGCTATACCCGCTCAGATCATTTAGTAAGTACATATGTTCACACTATGAGCTATGGCATAAATCGAGGCCTTTTTGGAGCCACTCTATGGAGGAATGGAAACAATGTGGGGTTCAAGCCGCTGCGAGCCAATTTCGGTCCGCAGGAAGTAACCGCTAGTGGAGACCAAGACGTGATCCCCAATGGTAATGTGGAACCCACGTAGCAAAACAATGTAGGGGCAACGCACGCGGAAAAGGCTGGGTCGTCGTCTGCGACACCATAGTGTGCAGGCTGTTCTAGCCAGACTTCCACCACGGAATAGAAAAGACTTGATACCTGCCACGGAACCCAGCCGTCTGACCAATTGCATTCCTATTTAGCTTCTTTGAATAATGCCCACAATGTCACTTGCAGAATTACCGACTGAATTATTATGTTTTATTATAGACTACGCCCAGCTCCACGGAAGCTTAGGAAATCTTTCACAATCTAATTGGAGGATTCGGACTCATTGTGCTCCCTATCTGTTTCACACAATCAATATCGCTTTCTCGGTGGCTAAGTTCAAACGTCTACGTCAACTATCCAAATCCTACATTGCTCAGCATGTGAAGGCCATCCGTTACGAAGCCCCGGAGCTCATAGACCCTCGTTGGTTTTCAATGCACCCGCAAAGTATTCATATCATGCTAATCTCTAGATAGATATCGAAGCATGGGATTATTTTCGCTCCTGCGTTTACACACCATCAGAGTATAACAGAGATCAGAGAGAGCTCTGTTGGAACTTCCACGGCAGAAGAGTCTCATACAACATGATATACTCATATTTTGCTGAGCTAGCCCGTGAACAGCAGACTATCTTAACGGAACGTATAGATTCTATCACATTGGTTGAATGCATTCCTCGCTTCTTGCATCTGCAAAGTATCGAGTTGTCCTTTATTGATAGCACTAAAAAGCCGTTTTGCTGGCTCTCAGGCCGCCTATTCGTTGGTTGGAGAGATTCTTACCCTGTCCACTTTGAGACGGTTATCGATGCCATGGTAGCAGCAAGGCGCAATGGGATTATAGTGCGGAAATTCAAAGTCTCTGGATTTTATTCGAAGATTTCTATGCCAGGCACAAGTCTCTTTAGAAAGGTTATGGAAGCACTGCACAATGTTGAAGACCTGCGACTTGTTGATAGTTCCAGGCTTTTGAATTTTATGCGGCAAGTTAGCCTTCCTTCTGTTCGTCGTCTTGAACTAGCGAAATGTTGGCTATCAGTCAAAGATCTTGAGGAATTCTTCCGCGTACACTCAGGAACACTCCACTCTTTGCACCTCGAGGATACATGGTTACCTACGGAAACTGTTCATGAATGGGGGATTAGTTTATGTTCAGGAACCATAGAAACAATTGTGGATAGGTTGGCGACTATTCGAAGGTTGGGAACCTTGCGCAGGCTTACGATTAATGAGAAGGCAAGCGGCTGCTGCTACCAGTACAAGGAGCTATTCGACGGGATCTCGACAACTTGGAGTATAGAATAGTGAATTGATTTAGGAAAGAGTCCTTATTATTGGCACCGAACATGCAATATAAAAGGGTTAAGATGGTGTTTGCCTCTGGCATTATTGCCTACGGGAGGTACAGAATCATTGATAATCTAGCTACTTGTCGAGAATCAAACATCTTGTAAAAGCTTACTGGCCAGAACAAAGAATTCAGCCGTTACAAATATAATGATTTTTTGGTAACATCTTAACAAAGCTCACTTCAAAAAGAGCGCTTAGTGTTGGATGATATGGGGTTACACCATGTTATGGACATAGACACAGTTAAAGAGAGATATCTGCTCCAAGGGCTATTTTAGGTCCTCCAAAAATGGGACAGTAAAGTGGGAGATGTCCGTACATAGCTGGTCCTCCCTTGGTTCAGGCTTCTATTGTTCTATACCTGGGAATTACTAAGCTGGTTTTCTCTCTCGACGTCGTGGAATTTCCCCATCGGTCTATCGAAGCGATGCATTGGCCCTCCACCGCCAACACCCTAGTATTTATATCTCAATACGCTCTACTATCTGTAATACTACGCCTATTTTAGAAGGCCACCGAAGTGTAGATACCCCAGTATACAATAATTATTATCTGGACCAACCCAAATAGGATGAGTGTCATGTCAATCTTCTCCAACTGCTAAGTTAGTAGATGCGACAATGCGAGTCCTTGTCTTCAGTGGAAATATTTAATTGTGTTCGTGCTCATGGCACTCGCGGAGATTAGCCCCACTATTTCGCGGACCCCTTAGGGACTGCAGCTTGGCCATAACCTTTCGAGGGCGTATATAACTGGGCGATAGTGACACAGACGCCCTCCGTCCTATACAATGCATATGGTTACCAGTGGTTTCTAAACATAATTCACAATATGGTTATCGAAAATTTTAATCAATTTATACATCTGTCGACAAGGTTTACGCCGTTGTATTTGCCAGTTTGTTTGGCATTCTGGTATTCTACAACATCCTAAGTGGATTGTATACCATGTTTTCGAGGTGTCGATACTATCATCTAAGAAGGCTGATGTACCAAATACCTTTTCGAAATATGTTTAGAATACCGTCACTTCAGCGTCTAGTTCTCACAACAGCATATCTAGTGGGGACAGGTGTCTGCAACTTTGTGGGCGTCCAATCTCTGCCAGAAGCAGGATCACGGGCAGCTCGCCTGTCATTGATTAACCTCATGTCTTTGTTCTTCTCTGGGGGCAACGAGTTTGGCGCACGCCTTCTCGGCGTGTCACTTGGGACGTATGGAGCCTTTCATCGGACTGTTGGGTTTGTCACTGTTATTCAAGCCACCATCCACGTTGTGATCATTGCGAAGACGAGATCAATTTCTGCATCGGATAACTTGCAGTTCTATGGTATCTTGGTATAGTCTCCCTATTCTTCATATATGTCTAAACAGAACTGACAAACGCCGCCGCAATAGGCAGCAAGCATGTTTCTTTCCCTTGTTATCTTACCTTTAGTCAGGAAAAGAGTATACGAGGTTTTTTTAAGGACACACCAAGGATGCGCAATAGTGGCGCTTTATGCCATTTGGCAGCACACTCATATCATGCAAAGCACTGATGCCTGGGTGTATCTTCGGGGGTGTGCCATTGTTTTCATTGTGTCGTTCGGAGCACAACTAATCCGTATACTCTTTCGAAACCTGGTTATTGGGAGAAAATGCACAAAGCTCACATTGCATACATATGGGGAAAACATTGCGCGCTTGACGTTAACCCTTCCTCGGCCATGGGGTGTGCGAGCTGGGGAGCGTGTTGTACTCAGCATCCCTTCGATCGGGCTATTCTATCTGGTGCAGTCGCACCCTTTTGCAATTTGCTGGTGGGAAGACGATGGCACCAAAAAAGCAGTTTCTGTCTCACTTCTTTTCCGGCCACGTTCCGGCTTTACCCGAAAGATTCTCGATCGTCTTGAGCAAGATCGAGAATATACTGTATGGATTGACGGCCCGTTTGGTCCAGCATCTATCAGCTCATATGGCCTTTGCGGCCATATGGGAAACTATGGCCATGTTTTCATGGTAGCTACCGGCATCGGAATTGCCGCACAGCTCCCCTACATCAAGGAACTCTTAAAGCAATATCGCCAGGCGCGAATTCGAACTCAAAGAATCTCTCTTGTATGGCAGTTAGAACAGGAAGGAGACTGGGAGAGTGTCCACGACTGGTTACAAGTACTAGTAAAGGAGGACGAGGGATATGTCAGTATTTTTCCTTCTGTTTCGAGCAAGGGCCTTGCTGATACAGTTGCAGTTACTTAGTGTCACAATCTACGATGCCTTAAACCCATCATTAAAAGGAGGTCTGCAGCGTTTCGGGTATCATGACCTGATCGAAGTCCATGGTGGAGAACCGAACTGGGAGCAGCAGATGTCGACTGAGATGGAAAAGCAGAAAGGCAACATGCTCGTAGCAGGTAGCCTTGACCAGTCACCTATTAAATCTATCCAGCGCTAACCACGTTTCCAGTATCTGCTCGTCGTCCTGTGCGGGATCAAATGTTGCAACTGGTGAGGGAGAACATCATATGCGGTGTAGAACTTTTTGAGCAGGAGTTTCAGCCATGGACTCGAAAGAGCAGTTGGTGGTCATACCTTATACCATAGAATATGCTAGAACGACACAATATGTGCCTTTGTATGCTAAGTTAGATGGGGCGACCAGCAAATAGTGTGGTGGCCAAAACGCTCCGCTACAATTCAAGGTATATCATTACAGTCTCTGCAGACATCCACAACCATTTATGTGAGGAGAATAGCCGCGTACGGATAATAGCTACGTACGGAGAGTAATTGCATAGGGAGAGTAATTGCATATGGAGAGTAGTTACGTACGGAGAATAGTTGCATATGGAGAGTGATTGCAAATGGAGAGTGATTGCATATGGAGAGTGATTGCAAATGGAGAGTGATTGCATATGGAGAGTAGTTGCGTACGGAGAGTAGTTGCGTATGGAGAATAGTTGCGTACGGAGAATAGTTGCGTATGGAGAGTAGTTGCGTATGGAGAGTAGTTGCGTACGGAGAGTAGTTGCATATGGAGAGTAGTTGCGTACGGAGAATAGTTGCATATGGAGAGTGATTGCAAATGGAGAGTGATTGCATATGGAGAGTGATTGCAAATGGAGAGTAGTTGCGTACGGAGAGTAGTTGCATATGGAGAGTAGTTGCGTACGGAGAATAGTTGCGTATGGAGAGTGACTTCCGTAAGCAACTAATCTCCATATGCAATCACTCTCCATATGCAACTACTCTCTGTACGCAACTATTCTCCATATGCAATTACTCTCCGTACGTAGCTATTATCCGTACGCTTCCTTATATGTTATACTAACGTGAAGGCTACCAAACATAGTCTCGGTAAGCGTGTCCCCGAGCTCCTATGGTAAGCTACATAAAAGTCACAAGAAACCTCAAACGCATTTCATCACGCGTGATATGTAATCTACGATGGCTTGTAACTTTCTGCGTCTCACTAAGAAGCTCGCGGTGCAATTTATCCTACATGGAGTAATATAGACGGCATGGAGGCCACTCAACCTTATTTCCCGAAGCGTATATTATAGCAATAGTAAATACGGAATGCAGCAAAAGGAACCGTCGTTATCTGTTGGCGAAAAACCAATGAGTGATCAAAATCTCGAAGGTACTGAGGGATTAAAGTCTTATGCTCGACGGCGAGTCACTGGTCGCTGATCATGTTCGTCTGACGTATTCCGCCGTTTACCAGTGAAGACATCATGCCTCGATATGTATTCTTCCAAGTCTTCACGTGTTATTCCACCTTCGCGGTTTTCAAGTTCACCGGGTTTGGATTTTGTTCCTACTAGTAATAATCTGCTTTGAAGAACATCCTTCAATGCAGTATCTGGTGCCTCCGATCTAAACGCATCCCCATCGAGAAGTAGAAAGTAATGGTCCAGTGCCAAGTCGGTAAGGCTTAGTCGAATGTTCAGCTCGTCATCTGAAAAAAACTTATAATACTCTCGTGAATTGAATAGGTAAAAAACAACCACACTAGAGTTATTGCTTTTGTACCATGTGGTTAGGATCTCTTCTGCCTTTCTGTGGACAGAAATAGGAATCCTTGTGCAGACCGGGCCTTTGCATATCTCATCCTCGAAACCCGCGGCTAACGGCACTGACTTCTCGACACCATCCATTTGTGCATGATGTGGTTCAGGCGGGTGAGGGTGGAGTTCAACAGGCGATAATACAGATGATGCATCGTCTATGTTCTCTGGATCCTCATCTATTGGATACTGCTGGCAATTGTCAACTAACGTTTCCTCCTCGGATGGTAGTTGATTGGTAATCTGCTGGACTGGTGTCTCGATGTTCAGTGCCGCCGTGGTAGCAGGCTGCTCACCACGTAGGAGTTCAATCATGGGGTGCCTGCCGAAGAAAGACAAGAATATGTCTCGCATTATGGCAAACGATGTTGGATAGTGCTTCGCCTCTTGATCAGGGCAATAAATGTACTTTATGAAAAGAAACTTGCGATCGTAGAGATACTCTCTCTGAAGGGGGCGACCTGCCCGCCTATCGGGTCTTTCCTTATCCCAATTGACGGCATGGTCCGGCATTAGAGGTGCAGCGGACTGTTTTTGCTCGACATCGAACATCTCACGAAATTTCCTTGCAATGTAATTTACTTTGCTGTTCGCCTCGGGACCTACCACGTCCCTCGAAAGTGCTTCACATATATACTGAAAGGCAGGCAGGTTCGGGTTTCTGTAAGTGTTCTGATGGTTCCTCGAAATATCGAAGCCGAATTTTCTCGCTGCACTGGACAACAACGGCCTCCCGCGAACTTTTAGTAGCGGTTGAACACTGTCTTTGCCGTTTGTTCTTCCTTTTCGAGGCTCGATAAAATGTCGGAATGCTACCAACCAGAGCTGCAGCAGGCTAATCAAAGATGAAAACTCTTCGAGTTTCTCGATGGTGATCCCAGAAGGCAATTTTACTTCCTCGAATCGGGTTTCAGATAGCTGTACACAGCAGGATCCGTTCCATCCTCCCCAGGACCTTAACAGAAGGTCCTGAATTGATACCTTGTTCCTACTGGAGCAGATATCGCGGATCGCGCGTGCAGGACCGGAGAGTAAGATGGCGTCTTGAAAGAAAGTGGAGAGGGTGAGTATCCTTCCGGGAACTACGAGCAGGCTCTGCAGCACACGGTCCCGGTCCTTAGAATTTGTCAGCCTGGGGAACAAAGAAGCCTGGCAACTATCATTAATAGCATCGACGATTTTTTGATCATCCAGAGAATACTTCGGCATCAATCCTTCCAGAAAGCCAACAGATTTTGGGTCAACCAGAAACGCCATATTTCCGGGGAAAAGGCCAGACCAGAGGTGATAGATATTTGTCAAGTAGGAAACCATGACCTGCCTCTCATGAGCAGTTGATAATATATTGATGGATAAAGAACGATGGTATACCTCGTTGCAACGCGGATTGAACATGTACTCTAACTTCCGGTACGTGAACGTCTCCCAGAGCCCCTGGTAGGGAGCGAGGTCCGCCAGCGCCCCTCGCAGAGGAATATTCGAATCTACCTTTTTGACATAGTGGTAGTCCGTATCAGATTTGAACCTGTGCCGCCAGCCCTCTGATGTGCATGGTGCATAGTTGCAGAGCAAGTCGCGGAAGGCCTGAGCATCCGTAATATTTGCCTCTATAGCATACTGTGCAGTAAGATGAATCTGCAAGTGGAGTGGTAGAGCTTTTTGCACATTATGATCAGAAATTTATGTTAAGGATCGTCAGGGGATAGTTCCTTACAATTCAGGTATAGCCTAGCTGTCCACCACTTTTCTCCAGGCGGAAGAAAGCGCCGGGCCGCCTCAAGAAGATCCCGGCCGCGCAAGCACGGGAGAACAACGCTTTTTTCAAGCATAAGATGAGGTGGGTTTTGTGAGAATGACAACCCTTCTCGCGCTATACCCGTATCCAAAATCGCCCTGTTCAACTGGTCCTCAGTGATGACAGCTATAACGAAGTGCTCTGGGTCCAATCGAGAACACTCGTCTAACGTGAAACGCTTAGAATACCATTTGACATTCTCTTCTGCATCAAACTCATGCGACAGTTGCTGGAGAGAGATTTTGGCAAACCCCACGAAGTGCTTTTGTACTTCTTGAGACTTGGTGTCTATATTCTTGTTAAGCCAGCCTGCTCCACTCATAATGTATGATTAAATCTTTCACACCTAGGTAATTAGTTAAGGAAGGAAAGCAAAAAAGGGTGGGAAGTAAGTCAGTACTTATAGATTTTGGTTCACTTTGGACTGGCTTACAAACTGTGCTTAGCATGTTTCATATCTAATAAACTTATTTTTACTTCGCTAGAACTCGTTATTGGATAAAAAAAAGAATAACCAGAGAAAGAATACAACATCTATTTCATTCAAAAAGATTCATCTCATCCTTTTTGATACGATCTGGAAGAACCCTCCCATATCGAATCGCGTCCAGATAATGGGGTTTGAGATTCCAGGACCTGTCCCCAGGTGGTGCCTGTTGCAAGAATTCATGCTGATAATTCAGGGCGGGCGTAAAGAAGACAGATAGACATCGTTACTAACCTGAAATAATATAGAGTATGGAGCCGTTTTTAGTTCACGAATAAAGTCTTTGCCGTATGCGGATATATTGGCCGGATCCTGCAAGTACCTTTCTCCTTCTTCAAGGATCGTCCGTGGGTCACAGAGATTAACTAACAGAGTTGCTACGCTGTCCCGATCAGTCTCCCTCTCTCTGAGTGTTACTCCTTCAAGCATGCTGCTGCCAATATTTGCTATAGTATTGTCAGATTCCTAACAGGCTGCAAACAGAGCAAGCACTCAACACTAACTTATTCGCACCTCTCCATCATGGAAAAGCAAGACGCTTTTGCTCGAAATCGCGCCATGGCTAATCCGAAGGGTGTCGTGTATATACTGGAGGCCTCTGAGGACACTCCTGCAAATTGTGGCGAAATCGACGTCACTAAGATAAACATGAGGACTCGAACGAACAAGAGATAATGTCACTGCGAGTCCGTGGTATCGGTAAGCAAAGAAGAGTGTATTTCCATGGTAGAAGGCCTCCAGCAGGTCAACGATATTTGGATGTGCAGCTGCTCGTAGATTTGACTGCCCATAATGCTTTTTGCCCATGGTTTTGAGTTTTATCAATACTTCTTCCGGGTATCCTGGAGAATTTTCAAGGCCAATCCACCCAGGTCCGGCTTGGTCGATCTTCCAAGATATGAGATATTTCCGAGATGGTTTCCCATCTTGTATAAATTTGCAACCCGTCTGCTGTGAACTAACTGGAGCATTATAATGCTCCTGTGAATCAGTCGCGTTGGTAGTGGGTAGTACATGGAGGGGCACATGGATTCGAGCAGAATGTCTATTTTGATTTGCATCCTCTCCACTGGGCTTGTCAAGCGAATCCACACCACTAGGTTTCACATCCGGTCGGCTATTGCTATTCCAAAGATGAGGTGGAAGGCATGTATTACGCTTCGACTTTTGCATGATTGACAGAAATGGCAAGAACACCTCCACCAAAGAAAACGTTGAATGTGAGAGCAGCCGAAGCTTATATGGCCCTTGTATGTCAAACGAACAGCAGTAGGGACTTCTGACATCACTGTACATAGAAGGCTGAGAACCCATAAATGTAGACGCATTGAATAAGTCGCTACTGTTTGTATAATCAACATCTGTCTTCCAAAAAGACACAATAGCGGCATTCCAAGGCTAAAGAAGGCTAGAAGTTGTTGGAATTGGACCGATGTACCTAAGTGGGACAGAGTGGGTTCCGAGAATGCCTATCACCTGTATTGCCCGCGATACTCTTTTACTGCCGCACCCTAGTTCTAGTGCCGGCCGCGACCCCTTTGGGTTACGTTTCGGCGCGTATACACCATTAAGCCTTCAAGCAATCGATATATGGCACCTAGCATTCAAAGTACGGAACGTAGTCGTCATTTACGTGGTGGATCCTATTCCATTGCCTCTACTCGTAATAACGCTCAAAAGCGACGTATCTATTGCCCCTTACTGATCATTGATGCCACTAAAAACATACGTCCACGCGAAATCATGCGCTGGCATTGTACGACCCTAATGCATCCTTGCCACCCGCGGACCCGTTGGAACTATATTTCCATTTTGCAAACCTGTCATGTGCTAATAGGATCTATACTATCCTGGGTGCTACTAGTGATACATACATTCCGTGGCAGTCTCCGAAAGGTGGGACTGGTGACCCCGGCCCACCATTCACTACAGAGTCACATTAGTCATAAACCTCTCCCTTCAGTAAGGGGACAAGGAAAAAAAAACCACAAGAAGTTCGCCCTCAAGAAGTGGTACTGTACAATGATCAAGAAGACACACAAGGATATAGAGGTAGTTTGTTACCTGCGTACCAGTCAAGGCGAGTACTATTCTGGTGGATCTTGCCCATGTTCCCAGCCCACGAAAGCAAGCGAAACTCTTGTACACTAGACGATGAGGAGTGGAGACCCGCGAGCAATGCTGGGGTGGTGGGGGCTTCCGAGCGTGCGCCGCTGCTCTCTAAGGACACCAACCTGCGACCCTTTTTAGGTGCCGCAGTCTAACTATCCGTGGTGCTGCAGCGGCTTTTGGGTACGTTTCGTCCCAAGCACATATTTAAATTGGAAACAAATGTTAGTCAATATAAAGTACTACCGCAAACAAACGCCAATACCCTGCAATAGCCTGCCTTCAGTTCAGCCCTCAATGGCTCCACCAAAACAGTTAGGCTCTCCAATCGAGCTACCAGTCCGCAGGTCAACAGTTATACCCGTTACGCTTTTCCCATCGGTATCTTTCCGTAAGGATCACAGAAGAGGCGAGTTCGTCAAATATGGGTCTCCATACAACCAGGAAGACCGACTCTTTTTTGGACTAAACCCTCCTTGGAACAATGTCCATGCCATTGAATTCAAGGAGGGCCGCCCAGTCAGCTTCGTGACCCATCAAAAGGTTGAAACCAAGAACATTTCTCTGGACCGTATCAGGCAGATTTCACATGCAAATGTGCTGGGCTTCAAGGAAGTATTTATCCTAAAGGATATTATTTACTTCCTCCGGGACCAATGGGGTCTTACTTTAAACGAGATTTTGCAGCTATCTCCAGTCTTTAACCTCGGTGAGGTGGAAGTTGCTGTTATTTGCAGGGCTGTATGTTTTCAAATAGAGGGTTATCAAACCTAGCCCTGAGCTAATCTTTTGCAGATTCTCCAAGGACTAAGGTATATCCACGAGCAAGTGGATATTTGCTACGGGAATCTGACATGTTCAGATATTCTTATTAATGAACAAGGCGAGGTGCGAATTGGTATGTATCTGTCTCTTCCCTTAACTTGTGATTTGGGACTAATCTTGACAGCGGGCATTGGGAACAGCATACTCCAGAAGCCCGATCCTCTAGGTAAAGCTAAGGATATCCAGGCTGTCTGCCACATAGCCCGCAAACTTCTCAGAGTCGAGGAAACTGTCGATGTGCGCGGCACTACTGGACTTCTGGCCCAAGATTTTGCCGGTGCTCCCCCAGCAACAACAGCAAAAGATCTTCTTCAGGTAAGAAATAATAAACAAGTAGTTTGATTCACTGCTAATCAAATCCGAAGCATCCATTTTTAGAGGTTAGCGCAACTCAATGGTGCCTTCGCCCGCTTCATATCCTCTGCAAGATTGCCCGAGAAAGGAAATATGAAGTAGAGAGTACTTGACCTAGCTTTTCATATACAAGATCTAACCTTCGTAGATGAAGGGTAAATTAAATGGAGAATAGTCAATCAAATTCTTTTTCTAAAATGTGTTCAAAACCGAGCTAGATAACTCTCGCATTTCTCAATATGCTTCTAACCTGTGGTTTTCAAAATGGCTATGAGTTATAAAGTGCGCACTGAACCATATAAAGTCTTCGGTCAAAAGGAGAGAATGACAGGAACAACCAAATAGCATAGCTAGTTGATTCATGTACATACGCCGTTTTGGTCCACAAGGGCCATCTATCGGAACAGTTTGTGTCGCACCATTTGGAAAACAGAAAAAGCCTAATGGTTTAATGTCATAGTGCTCGCCCTCGGCTCACCTGAGTAGCTCCGCCCAGATATAAAAAAGCTATAATGTGGCTACAGGAGTGGAAGTTTCCAGGCACCTTCAACAATCACTCAATTCTCCTGGCAAGATGGAACCCTCCCCCGTGACCGATAATGTGGAAAAGGGCACAGCCTTGCACCGGAGCGATACAACTTATACCATCGAAACCCGCTACATACAAATGCTCCTCGAGGATATCCCATGGTTTTACAATATCCTTGCTGATGCTGCGCACTGGGCATTACTTGCAGGGTACCTGGTGGTACCCGGCACCTTCACTTCAATGCAGAAGTCTCTAACGTTGAATGAAGACCTGAAAAAAACGGAAGCTGGTCAGATCGTCCTAAATACAATACAGAATCCTCCCCTGCTTGCGATTGCATGTTTCCTCATGGTGCTGGGAGCTTTACTGATGTTCTGGCTATCATGGGAGCGGAGAAACAACTATATCTGGCTAATTAATAAGTTGTTTATGTAAGGGACATATTTGTAAAACACTAAGAAACAACAGCTAATATGTTGACAAGGCCAACCCTTCTTAGTGCTTTGGCTGGATTGGTCACAACTCTTGTCAATATCTACACTGCACGGGAGGGTGAGTGGTCTATCATGGCACTCCTGACGACAATCGTCACAGGACTCTCTGCTTCCGGTTCCCTAACCCTGCTTATCATTTACCGTTTTGGGAAGCTCGTCAAAATTAAGCAAGAACATGAAATGGAGACGAAGGCAGGCTTCCAGCGAGTCAGTCCCTGAGGCCATGGGCATCGCCCGGCAGTCTCCATACCAAACAGCATCTCACAGTATAAGGCAATCGAGACGGCGGACAATAACACTGGATAATACAATTTTGTCAAAAGGAGGGTTGAAATACGTATATAATAATGTGGGTATCTTTATGCTGGGCTGGCCTTTTGTGGGTTTTTGATGTATCTATCGCAGTTTAACAATTCCCAGCGGTCACTCTACACACACTTCTGTGAATAAAGTACAATCCCGTACATTAAACAGCAATCTGCATTCTGAGCTAAAATGGAAATTGAAAAGTTCGGTCTCTGCCAGACCCGTAAGGCTCAAAATTTAATACATTACACTTCACTGAATATAGTCAAGGAGCTGACTTTTACCTGCGCCTTCTAAACAAACCCTCTACGCAGTGCCAAACTACACCTGTGTCTTGTTCTGCATATATTCTACGTTATTAGAAAGTTAATCAAGTCCAGGAAGCATACCGTGCGATTTGAAAGACAAGCTAGCATATAGGATATTCCTCCATCTCAGAATATCATGTATCTGACAATCAATACAGAAATTCGCATTAATACATTCGAGGTATCAATGTTCCCTTGCACCATCAACCAAGGTAATGCCTTGAATATATTACTAGCACAAGAAGACTGGTCATTCCGAACTCAAACGAACAAAACAATATACATGAAGCTTGACCGTTTTCCCGCCCATCATAATTCTCTCACATTCCGCGAGAGTGCAGCAGACGTTCCATTCCTGATTCTTCCATAGTACTGCAGGAACTTCTGGGTTTGATTGGCTGGTCAGATGAATTATACGATTCATTTGCTCATCTTCGGTGAATCCCTCGCTGCAATCTTCACACAACGTGATCATCTTAACCCGACTTTTGGCGGACGGGATATATGACAGGGTGGCTTCCAGGGCAGCGCCTGGGCCGTAGGGAACAAATGAAAGCTCCCGAGTGCAGGGGTCACTCTTCCCCTTGCAGCATAAACAGTCCCAAAAGATAGTTCCCAGCATCCTAAGTATTAGTTAGCGGACATAAGCAATATCAATCTTTGCGCTTGGATCTGTACCTTAAATCCGAAGATATTCCTTGCTGCGAATCAGAAAAATATTACCAATATCTTGAATTGAAGGAATATTGGTTCGAAAGGGTTTGGTGAAACGACGTCACAATTTGAACAGAGAAAAGATTAGAGCGTATTAAATAGGTCCTGAGGTAGTCCTGCAATGAAGATATAGCCGAACACAGTCAAGTCATACCATATAAGCTCAAGCTACGAACCTCGACAAATCATCGACAAACAATAACTTAGCACAATAGTCCAGTATTTATAATACTTCAACACTGCTACGGCATGAGCAGGCGGCTTGGCAGGTTGTAGATGGTGACCTAGCACCTACTACCCGGAGTGGGTCTGCCATACCAAAATGGAGCCGCAAATGTCTTTCAGGAATGTGACATGGACACCCCCGAGTGCGGTCTCTAATAGTTTGCGGATCCACAATTCTTTCCCATAGATCTGGTCTGCCTAATGAATCGAAATGCCAGTCCGGGCATGGGTCTTTTGGATGTTTCTGAAATATGCTTCTATTCCTTGGGTTAGGTAGACTCTTTTTTGCTTGTTATCTTCTATATAAATCTGTTAGAAAGAAATTGGCAGCATGAAATGGGGGCGAATACTGTTTATTCTGAGACCCATACCATGGTATGGGATTGTTGATCCATCCCCTTTGTTGCCAAAGACAGAGTGTCACGCTATGAGCTAACCATCAGGCGGCGAAAGAGATGCTCTGATTGAACGGTTGCAAAATATCTGGAGGGTTATCTTTCTTAAGTAGTAAACAATTTCGACCAATATATTCTACTCAGATATACATAGTTTTATAAATAAACGATGAACGGTTATAACGCATGTCGTCAATGTGTAAGGCATTGAGTCCTACGTATCATGGAAGTCACATTATAAACATTGACCTCAGCCATCAACAGATCAGATACACAGCTGAGATATAATAACCTACTACTTTTGGCTACTGGATAAGAGGTGGGAAGCGGAGGTAACTATAAACTTAACAATCTCTAATTTTGGAAAAGGTTTCCCAGAAGACGGGAAATGTACTGTAAAGTACTATCAATTGTTGACCCCAAAGTTACATAAAAAAACAACACTGCAACAATCTCTTGGCTTCACAGAGTTGCTAAGCAGACTCTGGACACAACGTAGCATTAGTTCGATCGTCTTCTAGCCCTGTTGCGAGATTCTTGGCCTTAAGAAAGCCCTCTTTCACCATCATCTCACACACCCCGTACCATTTGTCTGTTGGTATCTCTACTTTGAAACCTTCATCATGACCCTGAACCATCCAAGAGGTATCACGTGCGCATCCAGATACGTACGCGGCAATGGCAACTCTCTGTGCGATGCCGCGTTTTTTCAACACTCGTAAAACACGAAGGAGCTCTCTGACTGCCTGAGAAAAGATGAGTCGCCGGAGCTGCGTATAGTAGCATAGATTACCTACATCAAAGTCGTCCTGTTGTAGCGACTCCAATTCATCTTTCATTGAAAATTGATCAACACCTTTTTCCTCCTGATCATCATCACCGCTCAATATCTGACCAAATAGTGTTTAGTTTCTGCGTAGTCGGCATGGTTGAGTGATGTATCCACGCTTACCGGTAAACAAAGGTCAACAGTCCGCACCATGATAGAAGACCAATGCGCGTAGGAAGGGCAGAGTATTGATATTTTTTCGAAAGAGGGATAAGATTCAAAAGTAGTGCGAAAGCGAATAGGAATCCCAGAAGACATTTATAGAACCAAGGAGGAGATGCACAAGGTAACATTTCAATAGAATTTGATCGCCTTTCAACAATCACAATGTTACGGTGAAAGGTTAAACTTACAACGGCGCATTGCTCTCCTTCCCCTAACAACATCAGGTATATAGTGGATCCGCCGTGCTGAAATGGGGCCGCAGGCGCTAATTATTAGGCTGACCTCTGAGTCCACCCCTGAGTAGCGTCGTGGATCTGAGAGTAGCAAAGGATACGATTTTGACAATACGCTCCACTACTGATTATTTATGGTTCCCTTGGTACGTGGTACGTATATAATTAAATGTTTTTTCGATTTGCTTCACCGAGTGATTATTGTTCGAGAAATAATTGACTCCAGCTCTTGCGTTATAGCTCATTTATACTCTCTCTATATTCTGATCGTTTCCGCTGGGCTGTCATGCCGTCGACGCCTAATAAGTGATCAAACCTGACAATGTCTCTCTCTATAGCAATCTAATTACATAAATCAGAGACAATGGCCAGTGCATAGTTCAATTACTTATTGAGCATCAAACAGAATATCATTGCATCTCTAAATACGGTATCATGTGCATTGGACTCTAAGGTGCGGCAATTGCTTTTGAATGGCAGTCCCTGGCATGATATTTTATGTTTTTCCGACGAATACTGGACTTTTTCTGGGCTGAATGAAATGAAATCATTTATTGCCAGACATTTAAGTCAGGTGGAGAGGATATAGCTAAGAGGGGAGCATCCGACGTCTGGGACAGAAATCCAATCTGGCAGCGGGACTGATCGGTCTGTCCACCAAATCGAGGCGACTTTCAGTATGGACTTGTATATCTGACAGGAATCTGGTATACTCCAACTTGCAGGTAGTGTGGAGAAGGGCTGGAAAGCAATGAGGGTGGTTATAGTTCTGAAGCGCGTGGAGGGTTGTTCATCACGGCCAACAAGGGTGCTATTGAGCAAGTGCAACTGAAGCTGGGGATATTGAAATATTACACTATTGTGTTGAATAGACTGGTTCTATTGTGATATGGAAGAGTCCAAAGAATATACCGGCAAATTCGCCGTTATACAGTATATAATAGATATGAGAAGATGCGCCATATGTGGCAACTGGTCCAAATCCTTATCATAAGGCATGTTGGCCCCAAGCGGATTACATGGTACAGTAAGCGAGTATGTTCCCTCTTCCGGTTCAGCACATAAATTTCACGAGAAGACGAAATTAGAATGGCTAAAAAAAACACTACAACGTTCAGTGAACCTAACCGACGCTTTTATTGCGATAGGGTGTGGGCCTATGTTTGGTGCCGCAGTGGGTGCAAGGTTGTCGCCTGAGCACATACCAAATAATTCCAGGGATTAACGCCGCTTCATAGAGAGAAACAAGAGCTTCTCACTTAATCAGAACATCATATAGAGTCTCGCTTGTTATGAGGCGAGGGTCCATATAGTTAGGAACCTCTCATAAGTGGGTCTGCCGTACTAAAATGGGGTCGTAAATGCCCTTGACCCTATGACTAACATATTCTTGTAATCATCCGACAAACCCCTGTTCTTGGTTAACGAGGTAGAACTCTACTAATCCTAAACAGTTCGGAATATGTACTATCACTGGTTATAGTCTGATCCAATGAACAACAACAAGAAGAATAATTTAATGGATATAGGACGCTATTTTATCTAAAACTATTAGTTTGTAATTGAAGAACAGACAACATATGTTAAACTCTTCATGCACACTACCCTCAAAATCTGCCTAGCTTTATGTTAGTGTAAATAGTGGAAATGACTTATTAAAAGCTCTTACCTTTCAGTCTAAACAGTGCCCAGTTGCACTTTGCGGCAAGCGAATGCTTCAATATTTCCAAAAATGAGTGATGCATTCCTATCTTAGCTCCGTTAGATATAAGATAGTCATGCACTGCCTGTGTATCCCCTGTGCCTGCGTGAGCTACCCATGCAAGTGGCGTTGTCCACTCTTTGTCTTCGGCATTTATGTTTGCACCATGTTCAATAAGTAGCTTCAAAGCATCAAGTGCACCATACTCAGCTGCCCAGGAGAGTGCAGTTCGGCCATGAGTGTCAATCTTATCAACTTTGGCGCCATATTTTAGAAGGAGCTCAATGATGTGTATATGATCATTGATAGCAGCAAATACCAGCAGTGGTCTCTCTTGACTCTGCTTGTTCTCCTTGTCACAGAGGTTGGGACTAATCCCTGCATCAAGGTACTTTTGAACATCAGAAAGATGTCCTTTTTTGAGAGCTGATTGTAGCCCTCCTGGGATTCTTGGCTTGCTGAACATTGTAGCTAGGGTAGGGAAAGGCAAAGAAGATACAATAGAATAGAGAAAATTAACTAACAGAAGTGGAGAGTATATATATATCTATTATTTTATTCAAAATCTAGACAAAAGACACTGGCCTGCAGTCACTAAAAGGGCTCGCAGCAAACATTTCCAGACTACACAAAGACGCCGGTGCGCTATCGTATAGTCATGATAGATCAATAGTGCTTTACAGAGATTATAAAGGTACGACTTTCCGGTCGAACACTGGGTACGCAATCACGTAAGACCCGTGTAATAGAACTTCCCTAAGTCGCCTCTTCTTTATATCGAATATAGCCGCTATAAGTGGCGAACCTTGCCCCACGGTATGGATTCTAGGAACACAGGAGAGAGACAATGGTCCTACAGGTTTTTTGGCGATTGTTGCGCTGACACCGGCACATGTACGTGATATATATCTCTATAACAGCTGCTGATTTGCACTACAGGTATATGCGCGAGCTTTCTGCCATGCTGGATATTCGGGAATACTCTATCTCGGCTAGAGAATCTTGAAGCAGACGGAGAAGATTCCTGCCGTGGGTGTAATGGAAATGTAAAGTATATCTTTACAGCATAGCTTTCTTCTAGTCAGCTAATACAGAAACCAGTGCTGCCTACTCGCATGCCTTGGCCTCTGTGGCTTACACTGGGTACTACTAATGAAAAAGCGACACATGGTACGCAAGCAGCTTCAAATCCTAGGCTCAGTATATGGAGATTGTCTCGGGTCCTTCTGCTGTCCCTGCTGCGTTTTGGTTCAGCAGGAGAGAGAGGTTAAAAAATACCAAGAAGAGATGCGCAATCAAGGCTATCACTTGAATGAGCACATGCAGTACCACTAGTTACGGGTTGATTGGTCACAATGGGGTTATCCTTGCTTGAGGCCTGCTTTGCCGACTATAATGTTCAAGTCACGGGTATTACTGGGTGTCTGCAAATTGCATTCAAGATTAGATTCAGAACAAATGGGCCAGATAATAAGTACCCAAGGGGGTGATATGGAGGCGCGGTGTTGTTGCCCTTTTGATTGTTGTCCTCTTCACTGTCATCCTGAGGCAGTCATAGCATCGCACTGAAAGCTTTCACACTAAGCATAGTACATTATAAAATATATATGTACCTATATAATACATTACACGACACTTTACTGTTTCTTCCCCCCGTCAAGATTTAGAGTGGGAAAAGATCATTTTACTGTAATACCTAGAAGAACAAGCCTTTCCAGTACTAGGTATAGTTAGTTCTACCGTATAAATAACCGAACTCCGGGAGTCTTAAAAACGAAAAGAAAGAAAAGAAGAGGGAGGGGGAACGAAAAAGAGATCAGCAGCATCTAGTATAGTTCGTATGCTACGTACAAGAAAACTAAAAAATAGGAAAATTCTCTTTTTTCTAATGCCTTAAGCTTGTCCCCGGACAAACTTAGATCATAATAGTCGGGTTAGCTATATGGTTATGATCGCCCTCTGTGTGCTTGCCACACCGAAATGGGGTCGCAACCAAGTAGTGGAGACAGGGCCCAGGTCGTGCGACCCCAAATCGGCTCGCAGATCAGCGTCTACCCAACCAAAAATTCCACCTTACTTGCATACACTTTCGAGTTGTCTTCAACAGAGACACGCAATATGGCGAAATATGGTAGTATACAGTTCTTGGGCAGGAAGGATTCTAGAGTAGAGACATCAACCTATAAGTAGCTACTGCCGTGCATCCCACTCCTCTCTTTTTGGGGCCATCATACTACTGGTTTCGTTCTATCTTATGTTGAATCAAGCCTTACCTACAAGACCCATAACAAACATGTCTCGACACTTTGCGGCTCGCATGACTTATCAGACGGTACGCGGATATCAAAGCCAAGCTCTACCCTACAAGACTAGCCTTGTATATGATGGAGTAAAGGGTATCCCAAAGAGAGTACCCGTATGTTCCCCATAAAACTGCAACCGTGCTCAATACTGACTCAGGGATATTCTCGACAGAAACTGTCGGTAGAGCCTTCGCAAGATTTGCTCCGTTCTCTACTGCAAGGCTATAGCCCTACCTTCCGGCGTCATCCTCTGGGGATGGAAGCAGACGCTGTCATAAAATTGACCCCGCGGCAGCAGATGTGTTACTATGATGGAAAAATGTTTGGCGGATACCTCGCCTTGCTCTTAGACCGTATCCTTGCAGACTGCTGCCGGCCTGCGGTCACAGCATACCTCAACACGTCTTTTGCGCAGTCTGTTCCACCGGATGTTCCGATTCGCCTGCGTGCATGGCCAGAGAGAGTCGAAGGGCGTAAAGTCTACCTCACGGCGTCCATCCAGATCCCTGGAAAAGGGGAGGGTGAGTTCATTGACGCTATTCGGGCGAATGCATTGTTTGTGCGACCCCGAAGTTGAATGCAAGCAACCTGGGGTTTTAGGAATTGTTGCTACGAGTTGGCGTGTACTTGAAAGACCGATCTTCCATTAATTCCGCGATGGATTCTTTTACTTAGACTTATCGAATTTACTCCTGTTATACCAACACGAATCCTTATCATCCTGAGAGAATTAAATCACGTCCCCAATATGTTATCCACTGCATTTGGACTACTTATTACCTTAACCTGACACCTTAACAAGGAACAGGGTCCGCCCCGCCTTTGAGTAGGGCAGAGATAGTTAAGAAACGTTTTGGATATTTTATTGAAATTTTCTCTAGTAGCCATCATGATACGCTGAGCGATGTCTTCGAGCCTTTTGAAGTGACGAGAAACATTCTTCACAGTCAGTACACCAATGATGCCTTTCAGTGTCATGTTGCCGAAGTCCACTCCTGTGGCTAAAAGATTTTCAGCAGTCACTGCAATAGGCAATTTGGCAGGGGCTGCTGCGACGACTAGATCGGGGAGGGCTTTCACATATGTACTCCAAGGCGGCCGATAAGATCCGATCTTCCTATCCAGTTCTCGTCACGGAGAATCTCAAGTAGCCCATCCAAAAGGCCAGATATCTCTTCAAGTTCCGTCAATCTGTGCTTCAAATGGGCCTTTCGTCGCTGGTCGGTTTCTTTGTCTATCGAACACGCAGTCGCATGCTTGCGACAATTGATGTACGGTATACCTCCGGTACACTGCACACAGTTGATTATTAACCAGGTTTAACTATCTTTCGAGCATTCATAATCACCTTGCTCTTTCTTTTTTGACATGCAGAACAAGCCCTAGATGAATTTTGTCGCTGTGATTGTGCAGGTGTTGCTTTGAACCCTACCCGAGTCCATCCCAGAGTTCCTGACTTCTTTGTCATTGTAAATATTCTGAATGGCAATTTTCTGGGGAGTACCCAAGTTTTCCATCCAAACCTGGGCAGGCACTTACCAAGCAAAGGTTGGTAAACATGCCTGGCGAGACCAAATTTGGAATGGCGCATAACAGTTCGTATTTAGTATTTTTCGTGGAAGTGTAGTTCGCCTTGTAGGGGCCCTTGAAAAAATCTGAAACTGGAGTTTGACCCTTGCTTCAGAGCGGCGCTGCTCAGGGCGATGGGGCTTGGAGCTAGGCGCTGACTCGTCAATCGCCTGGTGGGGAAAGATAACCCTCAGATTATGGGTCTTCAGCCTCGGCGTTGATTGGACGGCTGGGCTGTTTCCCCTGGTCACGGTCTTTCCTGGTTTGGACCAGACCGAAATGACTCCGCCCTGGCAAGCGCAAGGTGCCCTGGGTTGTGACCTTGCTTGCTCTCGCTGTCAAAAGTCAAGAGAGATATCCGAAGGTCTAGATTCGTTCAAAGGTAGAATAATGGCACATAAGTGGATCGTTGTCGTGGAAGGCTAACTTTCACTGAACGACAAGGATGAATTTGTCCTGGTAGACTGTCTTCATTCAAAACAACAATAAATAATGATAGCTTACGGCCGGACAGAAGGATTGGGATGCTTGCCTAAAACTGAGCCCAAACAACCATGCCTAAAGAATGCCTGATTAATTATCTGCATCTCATGTCCAACTTACAAGCTATCTTTCCTAACTACTTGTCCCCTTTCTCTCGTTCTTATAAAACTTTACTCTGGGAGACTTCCTCTATTACTATTTCTTCCTCGTATTTGTTAAGTATTCGAGCTTGTTACTACTCGGGTGTTTATATTTTCAAACAACTGTTGAAATTATAGCTGCCCGGATGATTTTGGCACTATATTTCCCAACATCCACGCTAACCAGCTCATCTGAGCTATTTGCGCATAGTTACTGTTATTTGCCACGCAAGGCTACTCAGTAGTGGTCCTAAAAGAGGAACGAATGGAATTCGAGACAGCAGTGCACTCGGTGGAAGAACCAACATTGGGAATCTCAAGCCCAAACACCCCAGCGACGACGTTTCAGATCTGTGATAATGGTATGGCACCGAGGTCTGGAGATTTTAGGTGCAGCTTCTGCAACAAGACTTCCCGTCGAAGTATTCAGCCCCCTTGCAGAGCAGAGAACGTTGAGAGACGCAGAGACAACACGGCATCTGTATCTCCAGTGGGTATCATAACTAATGGTACACAGGCGACCTACGCGACCGACACCAGCGACGGCGCATTGAGGCCGCCGGCCAATCACGTCTGCCGAAACGCAAATCCTGCAAGACAGAAGAAGGTCCGTTGCTCGATGGCTCGGCCCGCGTGCACCCGTTGCGTCCGAATGGGGATAGCATGCCACTATCCCGCGACCTCCTTGCTTCCTCGGATCGCTGACCCTCATGGCATCTCTCCTGCTTCATCCAGCTTAGTCGCTTCGTCTAGACCGGGTCAAGCGAGACCAATCCCCAGCTCCGTGGATCAGAATGTTATGGGCACCTCGGACACCCCAAGGCACGATGTACCTCACCCTGATACATATGACACTTTTTCGCTGACCATGACTGGCAAACAATGCAACGCCACATACAGTCACTTCGATCCAATCACCGCCACGGGATGTAATCCATTCGGTGCTAGCAATGTGGACTCAATAATGCAGGCGATGGACGGGTCTCTGTTTAGTTCTGGTACTTCCCTGCGTTGGGGCGACGACCTCACGCCGCTGAGTGATCCTATGCCTGTTGAAAATGTCTTAACTGGTGGCTTAGAGACGTCAATTAACCCAAGATTGTCCTTGCCCCTCAATGAGATCTCCAGGCCAGTGGGTCCGTTAGAGACCCGCCAGCCTGAAGCATTACCAGCAAGTGCCTACAACGCCCACTGTGCTTACAATTTGCTATTGCCTTCAGTCCCTTCCTCAAACAGCCATTATTGGGGTATTCATAGTCGTGGGGAGAACAACGATCTTGCACAAAGACTTCTCCGCGGTGATATTTTCTGCGGCTGACACTGAGCTATCGCTTTTTCCTAAAGATCGGTCTATCCGTTAGGCGAAATGTGCCCCTGTATACGAAAAATGTGGCTTTCAACCCTTCATGCAGTAGCTTCCCTTAGTGTTATCACAACGAACCCCTTCTCTCCATCTTGGTATCTCCGTATTCAAGTTAATCAAATCTGCGATACTCAGCTGGAAATTTACAACCCTAGAGTATAGTAGACATTATGTCTAAGACAAATAATAGTGCTAAAACACATCTTCTGTCCACTAAAAAAAGCTAATTGGGGTACCGTCGAGGAGCTAGATGGGCCTACTTCAGTCTATGTTTTCACCATAAATGTGTGCTACAAAACTAAGCCAAATGGATGAGTATTGAAATCAACCAGCAGGTATTTAATGCAGCCAAGAAATCTTTGACCGTCCATATGTCATCTAAAATGCCGGACGTGATAACTAAAAGCAAGTAACGGCACGAATCCGGTGCGGTGTTAACATATATGCATTACCTAGGCTCTCATATCTCCGTAGATCTCCCCTTCATGGCTTCTCCACAGAACATCCACCCAAAAAGAACAGAGCGGGCAAGTTCAGAAGAAAGAAGATTAGTGATAAACTGGCAGTGATGAGTTCCCAGTATGTGCTTTGTTTGTGAAACGACTACCACCATCCTTGCACACACTACCAAAGACAGATATTGGTCAAATCCAATGAAAAACCTGCCGATAAAAGTCCCGTTGACTGCTCGCATTACAGGCTTGAACCAGCCGGACCCAGCCCTAAAAGAAAGATTTGCCATTGTGGGCATCCGGTTATCGAGGTGGAAACGGAGGGGGTAGAAGTTCCGCCATGGTAAAGGCGCCCATAGTTTGACCGGCTGTTGCACCATGCTTGTATGTCTCATGATCAGAAGGTATTTTGATGAGGCGGAACATAACACCAGACACACTCTAAATACGTAACGGTGGCCACAACCACCTAGCACCATGTGATATATTTACCGTCAACTGGTTTCCTTGACGGGTTTCGGGCTTAGGTGGGTGGCAAAAGACTTGGCACAGCACCCACTTAGATAATTTCATCCTTAGTGCAATATGTTATTAGCCTATAAGGACCAAGAACGCCAAAACCAGCTACAACGAAGTCACGTGCATCGTAGCAGTGACACGCCCAAACATATTAGCGACACGACGCGCTCGTACCAGTTACGAGGATCGTATCATTGACACGAGGAATTGTAGCAGCAGCAAGACAACTACAGAATATATAAGGTCACTCACTCATGTATTTAGTTTAGTTCTTCGTGATCAATTCCCATAGGTTACTTGATAGCTATATTCAAGAAATTGTTAGCAGCTCAACTCGTTCGTACTATCTCATAATTTAGTATACGTGTTCAATTAGCCTGGCCTCTCAGCCTTCGACTATTTTCAGAGCATCGCATCGTTGTGCGTTGCTATCAAGCCTCCTAGTGCATTCTGGTAACCGACGTAAGTTGGGTCTAACCAAGATAGCTAACTGGTTGCAGAGTCCTTGGACGAATACTCGGACGTAACAACCAGACTGAAGTGACGTCCCCTTTGAGCACCGCAGAGCGGCTTCTAGACTTTCATGCTGAAGCCCGACGCACACCGGGCTGCGTTGAAAGTATCTGCCAGGAAGCATGTGCCCTCAGGTTGGTGGCATTTGATGGTAAACAAGGTATTTAGCCCAGCCAATTGAGCGGGTGTGGGATTTCGGGGTTTGGTCAAAGCCCGCGAGACATGATCGAAATTGGTCGGCATAAGCTTCATTTGGGATGGTAGACAGGGGCCTTGCGGACCGGTTGTCAGTAATACAGTACTACTACCATGTTGCGAGTAGTTCGGAGATTCATTCTACTCTACAACTTGACCCCTGTATAACCCTGAAATGCGAGGAAGACGTGGCCACTTTCTGCGATATTCGATCGCAGGCAGTTGTTGTAGCACATATAAGCCGGATACTTTGATAGCCTTATCTGGCGGGCAATCCTCCATACTATGTCTGCTCGAGTGTCAGTAATGTCATTATGAGTAACAAGATTGCTCGAACTTTGATGATGTCATTATGAGCTTTCGATATAAAAATTTAGTCGCCCTCCAATTCAGACTTCAATTTATCGTTTCGCATCTCACTTCTCCATAACCAGCGACAACAAAGTAATTTTTATAAGGTTTCCGTCTTTCGTTCCCAACTTCGAGCTAACGTGATGCGAGGTAACAGGTACGGGTATTTCTCTTTTATTATAGGCAGGAAGGGCTGACACCTTGAAAAGCATATCCTCTCTCGAGCGAAAGATTAACACCTGGCTCGATGATCTTGACGAAAGCATGAGCCAAGAGAAACTATACCATGACTCTCTCTTCTCCTACCATTACCGTTTAATGGTGTGATTCCCATTAGAGGAGTATCAGTTCTATGCAATTTTACCACTGACTGTCAGCCTACAGCAATATAAACGCCAGGGAAATTGTAATCAGAAGCTCTTCTGATTCTTCTGATCGACTCGTACTACACGAGCTAAAACCGTATAATGATATGTAGATCAGCATTGGGTTTCTTGGAGGTAACTGATATGAACTCGACATCCAGCGCCTGCTCATTCGGTAGGTTTTGCACGACCTTATCATCTACCATGAGCACTAGGCCGTCAGAGTTTATATACGCCATGTGTTTCACCGTTGTGGGATCGATCGAAGACTTTGCACAAATCTTTTCCATTAAGCTCTTCGCTGTCTGCTCTCTGAGGTACACTGCAGAGTAAATTTCATCATCACCAAAATATCCTGTATCTCTGTAGTGCCGAAAGTAAATGCACAATACTATACGTTTTATAAGTTTATTTTAGTATCAAACGATGGGAATTTATAACTACCTGGTTCTTGTATCCCCAAATCAGTTGTCCCGTGGCTCCATCTAGACCACGAACCATTGTCTGCCCGAGGAGTCCTCTCTGGATCAGAAGCGGGTACCAGTGTGCTTTTCTGCGGTGAAGGCATCTGTAGGAGGTGTGTTTCTTCACTAAATTCAAAGATCTGTACTTAGGTTTTGCTGCTCTAGGTTTTAGGAAGGCCAATAGTTGTTAAAGTGCATGGCATCAACTGATCGAGGGATACGAACCTACCAGGTTGGAATAGACCACTAAAGGTGTCCTGAAAGTCAGCCAGCAGCTGCGTCGAGGGCTGGTGAGATTTTCTACTACGAAATCAATCAAATCGACAAAAAACAAATATGGAAGATTCGCCTTTTGGTGAACATTGTGTAGAGAAAACCCACCTATTGGCCGGCCGGAAGGAATCGAAAGCCGAGAAGGAACTGATCTGTTCTTCAGTAAATGTGATTATTTCTGTTGTCAGGCCGATCAAAGTCCATACAGAAGCAGCTTCACCGTGGGAGCCACCGCACCAAAGGAATCAATTCGCTCCCAATGAGCGCTAGCCTATCGCAGTCTGCTCTTGTCAGTGGCGGGCAGTCGTCTTTCACATTTAGCACGTGATCGAATTTCGAAACTCTTGCGTGAGCAAGAGAACACTCTCTGTTGGGCTAAAAATAACCCATCAGCCCCTCCTCCAAGGAGGAATAACGAGCCAATTAAGCCTTATTTTTCAGCACCGAGTTTCCACAAAGTTCTTACCAAGCCTCTCCTACTGCATATATGAGCTTTAATTGGCCTGAAAAATGCTGTCCGAGGCAGTGAATGATGATTCATTGAACCAAAAGCCAAATAGATTTCCCACTTTAACGCACTAGCACCCGCGGGCTTACTAGCAAGACAAACTATTGGACCGCATCCATCCCCTTAATCCTTAAGTGGACCAATGGCTCAGGAGAAACTTCATTGGTCTGTGCGTTGTCAGTAAGCTAGATACTTTGCTTCGCGTATGTAGCTGTTAAAATCATGGTTAGGGAGATGTCATAATTCACACTTGGGCACAACATATCTATATTATCCACGCCAAATAGTCCGCACATTGAAAATCAACGATGCGCAGGTGTATTTAGTAATATTAGCACGGAGTAAACGTGCGGATAACTACCATCTACGCTATATACACATAACACTTCAGTAAATTCATCGCTTGGATGATATATAAATAGCCCTACATACAACCTTGGTCTTGAGGCTGTATTGGAGATTAACCAAGGGCAACGGACGAAGGCCAGGGGTCTATGGATCACAATGAGAAGTCGGAAAATTGCGTGCTTTGGGATCACTTTGTTTCACTATGTAATTTATTTGTAATTAAAAATGGGTGGGCCTGGTCAGAAAAAATTTGGAAAGAAAACATGGCCTACAATTCTGGTGGCCAACAGAAAACTGCGGGTGATCCACTGTTTAACATGATGCCACGAATAGTATGTCTTAGGCATGTCTTACCGAACCAGGAAATGACTGGTGTTCGATGACGCAATGGCGTAACATTTGGCTGCACTTTTTGCCTTGGGGAAGTCGGCAAAAGGGGTTTGCGGGGTCAGCTAAAAGATATCTGACTGTGATGAGGATAGATGTCGTCTTCCCAAGTCTCTGACTTTTCAATGCAAAGGATTCAGAGGCAAAGTTCTCAATATGACACAGGAAAAGCATGGAAAAGACACTGATTTCAATCGCGACTTTTACTGCAAGTCCATTGTGTACAAAGGTGTATTCACAGCAACCGACCGTGTTAATTGTCTATTACCAATCAGTACATTTCATCCCTCCAAAAGTCTGCGTTGGGTCCATTGATTAATGCATTCTACAGATGGGGGTGAGCACCTGTTGATTGGCGCGTACAGTGGAGTTTATTTGATCGATCAAAGACCTAGCAATGACAATATCGAGCCGTGGCGAATTCTCCTAACCTTCGGCGTTACCCAGTTGGACATTTTGGAAGAGCATCGCCTGTTTATGGTCCTATCCAACGGAACACTAAATACGTATCCGCTTGAAGTCCTCACGAATGCTATTGAACATGAAGAATACGTGGTTTGTAGACCATGGAAAATTCAAG